CCTCTCATGCCATTGGCTCCTCTCATGCCATTGACTCCTCTCAAGCCATTGACGCCATTGGCTCCTCTCATGCCATCGACCTTGCTTCTGGCACTGGTTTCTCTATTGACAAATTCTCTGACATTGGCTCATCTGGCACCACAGGATTCACTGCTGGTGATCTCTTCTCCAACACTGGCTCATCTGGCACCACAGTATTCACTGCTGGTGGTCTCTCTTCCATCACTGGCTCATCTGGCACCACAGGATTCACTGCTGGTGATCTCTCCTCCAACACTGGCTCCTCTGGCACCAGTATCTACTGCTGGTGGTCTCTCCTCCATCACTGGCTCATCTGGCACCACAGGATTCACTGCTGGTGATCTCTCTTCCATCACTGGCTCATCTGGCACCACAGGATTCACTGCTGGTGATCTCTTCTCCAACACTGGCTCATCTGGCACCACAGTATTCACTGCTGGTGGTCTCTCCTCCATCACTGGCTCATCTGGCACCACAGGATTCAATGCTGGTGATCTCTCCTCCATCACTGGCTCTTTTGCTGCAGTTGACTCCTCTATCAACCGCTCCTCTGCTCCCAGCAGTTTCTCCTCCACAGACAGCAGCGACTCCTCTACTGCCAGCAGTTCCTCCTCTGCTATCACTGGCTTATCTGCTGCCAGCAGTGGCTCCTCCTCTGATGCCAGTGGTGCCTCTCATGCCATTGGCTCCTCTCATTCCAGTGGCTCCTCTCATGCCTTCGGCTCTGCTACTGGCACTGGTTTCACTGCTGATGGTTTCTCCTCCATCACTGGCTTATCTGCTGCCAGTGGCTCCTCTACTAGCAGCGGCTCTTCTGTCACCAGCTCTTCCTCCACTACCTTTGGATCGAGTACTGAAGGTACCCAAAGGGTAGTTTCCCTAGGTTCCACAATCGGCTCTGGACAAGAGGGTGTAGTTCTGTTAGGTACACAAACAATAGGAGATGGTTCAGTACATATTGGAGATCATGTTTCTGTAAGCCATGATGCAGCATCTGGAGGATCATCCTTCACTTCCTCGACACAAGCTGGCACTCAAGGAGTTAATACTGTTGACCTTGCTGGTACTGAAGGGTCAGTAGTAACTGACACACAGAATCCTGTACAATTTGGAAGTCGCTCTGGCAGTGTACAAGATATTTTGCCAACTGCAATTCCTTTGGTGCAAGATGTAAAGTCAGTTACAAGTAAAGCAACTAATATTCCAGAGGTTCATTCCAGCACTGGTGGAGACAACTTTGAGAAGATTTCATTTATATCATCTGGGAAAGGTGCAGATGCAGTTGGTAGCAGCCAAGGAATCATCAGCACCTTCCAGACAAACATTAATAAAGGCAAGGAAGCAAGTTTAAAACAGACAGTTGGACCACCTGCTACAGTAACAACATTTAAACAACCTCTACTAGTCTCACAAACGTTTGAATCCACCGGGACTTCCGCATCATCTTCATCATCAAAAACTGGACACTTGGTGCAAGGAACAAGTGGAGTGAAGAGTGCTGTTCAAAAGTTAGCTGCAGCAGTAGAATCTAATGTAAATGAAGCACATCACTCTTCAAACAATGGACAAAATATATTACACCATTTAAATCAGAGATTCCTACTTGCCTTGCCTCTGGCGTCTCTAATTTCAAACTCAACACTTAACTCATTGACCCAAAGTAATGCACATGTTACTGTTGAAGCTGCCGCTAAGCGTCTGTTCCCAGACTTTACTATCATCACTAACCCCACGCAACTGACCAATTTGTTAACTGGAACAAGTCAGAGTCAGACTGTCAATAGTGGAACTCGCAGCACCACTAGTGGCTCTTCCAGTGCTACCACTGGTTCCTCCAGCACCACTGGTTTTACTACTGACCTCTTTTCCACCACCGGCTCCTCTGCTGCCACTGGTTTCACTGCTGGCCAATCCTCTGGTTCCTCAACTGCCTTTGGATCCTCTGCTGCTACTGACTCCTCCGGTGTCACTGATTTCTCTGTTGGCCATTCTGTTGACATTGGCCCTTCTGGCACCTCTGGTTTCTTTTCTACCACTGGCTCTTCTATTGCCAACCTCCCAAGGATTGTTTCAGTTGTGTCTCCCTCAGGGTCTTTAACATTCGTGCCGGCTGAACAAGTACGGCTCGGACTATCTCCAGCACTGGGCACTCCTCTGATCTTCCCTGAGACGAGATCTACATCAGCAGTTGCAGGAAAAAGTTCATCAGTAACAACCATATCAAAACCACCCATTCTCTCTAAGTTAGGAAATAATTTAAAGAGAGAATCCCTACCTATTTCACAGTGAAGAAAAAGTAGCATTATATAGTTTCCTTTAAGTAGCACTAGCTTGCAAAACTTAAGTTTTAAGTTGTTAATTTTCATGTTGACACATTTTTCTATCACAAGCATTCACTGTACAGTTGCATTTTGCATGTACACTATGCGAATATCTGTAGTTTCAATTTATTTAGTCATATTTATGTACACTATACAGTCCTTTAGAATATGGTAACTGTATTTTTCCTGTTATATTTTATTTATATGCAATAAATACAAAATATTTATCATGTTTAATTCTTGTTTTGTTTTTTGTACCTTTAAAGTTATCCTGTAGTTCAATACTCTACCTATGAGATATGAAATTTAAGTTCTTAAAAAATCCCGTGAGAGTGAATTTCCATCATCCATGATTCCTTTTTGTGATATATACAGCCACTCCTTGACTTACGACCTACTCGACTTTCGACCACCTGGACATACGACTGCCCCAGTCGTACCAAAAAATTTTCAAATTATGTATTTTCGACGTTTGTGACTGCGCTGTGTACTGACAAAATTTTCTTTTGTAATTCCCTTTAAAATGGCTGGCAAGCATAATAGTGAGAGTTTTGTGGTGCTGAGAATAAAAAGAGTCCCATTTTAGATTTTCTATGTATTATTTTCGCATTTTCGACTTACGACCTAGCTTTGGGTCCCTTATAAGGTGCCACTTTCCTTACTTCATACTATTTCATACTTATTCTTCAATATATGGTATTTATATACTTATATTCTTGCTTATATTTTCTAAGTCACCAATTTGTAAGAGTCCTGTTTTCCTCTTTATACTATTTCATATACTTATTCTTTTTATTTTTCAATATATTTATTTTCTAAGTCAATATTCTTTTCTTTACTTCATTTCTTCTTTTCATTTACAGTGGTCCCTCGGTTAACAAACACAATTCGTTCCACAGAGTCGTTCGTTAACAGAAAATTTCGTTAGCCGAATCCATTACAGTACATGTATTTCAATGGGATATTGGGTAATTGGTTCCAGCTCACAGAAAAGTACATACAAAGTAAAAAAAAAATGCAGTAAAGTACACTTACTTTGAGGTGCGTATGTAGAAGGCTCCTCGTTGATGATGATGATGGGAATTAGAAGTGGGGTGGAGGAGAAGGGAGAAGAGAAGGAAGTGGGGAGCCATGCTTGATGCCGTCATTTCACCAATAAAATTTTAATTTCACTAGGTGTAATTCAAAATTATTTTCTTTAAATCAACACTAAAATATATATTATCAATATGTTAACTAAAGTTCAGAATGACCACTAATTTCAATAAAATATGCAAAAATATTCAAGACACCAACAAAATGGCTGCTCTCTCACAGTACACAAGCCAGACTGAGCTGTACAGGGATACTGCATGCTGTAGACAGGTAATACATGTCAATATGTTAAATAAATGTTAAAATTACAAATAATTTTAATATAAAACATTCAAAAATATTAAATAGCTCAACTATATTGATATTTGCTCCATTGGAAACGAATTTAAACATAGAACAGATTAACTGAATTGGCTGAGTACTGTACCCCCCTCAGCTGATCAGCTGATTCTTACAACAAAACGTGATGTTAGTTCCCTGTGCTGCATATACTGTATTATCAATATTTAATGATAAAATGACTAATTTTAATATAAAACATTAAAAAATATTAAAAAGCTCAACTTTATTGATAGGCTACAGTATTTACTCCATTGGAAATGAATTTAAAAATAGAACAAATTACTGAATTGGCAGACTGGGCCATCAGCTGACCAGCTGATGTTCAAAACAAAATGTTATTTTCGTAAGGATTTCGTTAATTAAACTTTTGTTCATTAACCGAATTGAAGATCCTTATGGAAGGTAATTCGTTAACTGAAATTTCGTTAACCGAGGCGTTCGTTAACCGAGGGACCACTGTGTGTGTGTGTGTGTGTGTATATATACAGCTAGACCCCGACTTACGACGGGGTTAGGGACCCAAATCCAGGTCGTAAGTCAGAATGGTCGTAAGTCAGAATGGTCGTAAGTCCGACATGGATTAAAAATAAATAAAAAAATTTTAATAAAAAATCTACAATGAAATACAGTCCAGTAAAAGTAATAAATAATGAGGAATGGATACAGTACAGTGAAAGTAATAAATAATGAGGAATGGATACAGTGTGACTGAGCACTTACCTTTAATGTAGTCAGCTGAATGCACATGGGGCCCCCATAATTTTCTAATTATACATGGAGACTACATTAACTGGAAACGTTTCGGTATGGAAAATGCGTGTGTCATTTGGAAAAAAAAAAAAAAGGAAAAAAAAATGGTCACAACTGCGGCAGTCGTAAGTCCCGACGGTCGTAAGTCGAAGCAGTCGTAAATTTAACAAGTGCGCGGCTGCGTGCCTGGCGGCCGCGGACAACCCCATGCCCACACCAGTACTTACCTCCGAACTCGTAAGCTGGGTCAACACCCCTCAGCCGAGCAGTACCTCACAAGACGTCAGGGACCTGCTGCAAACCTTGAGCCGCAGTATGAACACCATTGAACAGTTCTGCTCCTCCATGCCTGCCTCTAGACCTGTTCCTAACCCACGCACCGTGCCCTACAATCCCCGACGCGCCCTTCCTGCCCCGGAAACCACCGCCAGCCCCCAGCACAACGAACATACCCTCTGCTGGTATCACCGGCGTTTTGGCCCCAATGCTCAACGCTGTGAGCCCCACTGCACCTACTCGGGAAACGGCAACAGCGGAGGTTGGCAGGCGCCCCAGGCCCCGTCCCTTCAAGCGTCTCACTACTGCACGTCACCGATCGCACCTCTGGCACGAAATTCCTCGTCAACACAGGTTCATCGGTCAGTATCATCCCTCCCTCACGACAAGACACGTCAAGGCAACCCTCTTATGACCTGTTCGCCGCCAACGGTACTCCCATCGCCTCCTACGGCGCACGCACCCTCACCTTAGACCTCGGTTTCCCCAAGACTCTACGCTGGTCATTCGTAGTCGCAGACGTGTCTCAACCCATCCTTGGTTTCGACTTCCTCACCTTTCACAAGCTCGGAGTCGACCCAAGCCACCTTCGCCTCATCCATGAGCCTACAGCACGCAAGATCCAGGGTTCATGTGCCAAAGACACTGACACTATCACCTGTCTTTCGCCGTCCAATGAGTTCTCGCCCCTGCTTGAAGAGTTCAAGGAACTTTCTCACCCCGAGTCTCTCCACCCCCACCACCTACGTCGGGAATTTTTCACCACATCGAGACCAAAGGACCTCCAGTCTTCTCACGCCCCTGCCGCCTGCGCCCTGAGCTCCTGAACGCAGCCAAGGCGGAATTCAACAGACTACTGCAAGACGGCATCATTCGTCCTTCAAAGAGTCCCTGGGCATCGCCTCTTCACATGGTCCTTAAGCCATCATCCGGCGACTGGAGGGTGTGTGGCGACTACAGAGCCCTGAACCTCGTCACCAAACCTGACAGGTACCCTATTCCGCATGTCCAGGACGTCCACCACAAACTTCATGGCAAGACAATCTTCTCGAAGATCGACTTGGAGCGTGCCTTCCACCAGATCCCTGTAGCACCTGCAGATACCCAGAAGACAGCCATCACCTCTCCATTCGGACACTTCGAGTATACTTTCATGAGTTTTGGCCTACGCAACGCAGCACAGACTTTCCAGAGGTACATGGACCATATGCTTCGCAACCTCGATTTTGTAACCATCTACATAGGCGACATCCTCGTCGCATCTTCGACGCCTGCCGAGCATCATCACCACCTACAACTCCTCCTCCAACGCCTGCAGAACAACAACATGAAAGTTCACCCTGCTAAGTGCGTCTTCGGAGCCCCATCCATTAATTTCCTCAGTCACAGAGTCTCGCCTAGTGGCATCCAACCCCTACCACAGAAGATAACCGCCATCAGGGAGTTCCCCAAACCTGAAACGGCGAAGAAACTCCGAGAATTCCTGGGTTTAGTTAACTACTACCACGGCTTCATTGCCAACGCTGCCACCATCCTAGTTCCCCTCTACGACCTTCTCAAAGGACTCCCAAGAAGTCTCACAAGCCTCTCGTGTGGACTCAAGAGGCTGTTACGGCATTCACTGCTATAAGACAGCACATCACATGCCTTACCCTCCTAGCCCACCCTGCACCTAACCCCCGGACCACTCTCACAACAGACGCTTCTTCTACTGCAGTGGGCGCCGTCTTACAGCAGGAGATCAACGGAGTCCTCATGCCCGTTGCATTCTTCTCACAACGGCTTCAACCACCTCATCTCAAATACAGCGCCTTTGATTGAGAACTCCTGGCCGTATACCTGGCTGTCAACCATCTCCAGCACTTCCTCGAGGCCCGTCAGTTCACCATCTTCACTGATCACAAGCCCCTTTACTTCAACCTCCCAGTCACATGCACCTCGCGTTCTGCGCCACTTGGCGTATATCTCTGAGTTCTCCAGCGACGTCCAACACATTAAAAGCAGCTACAACGAGATCGCCGACGCCCTCTCTCATTGTATATCCAACATTTTCCCCTCATCTCCACCCATTGATTATGGGCAACTTGCCGCGCTCAAAAGAATGACGAAGACCTGGCAGCACACAAGACATCTCCGTCAGGCCTCACACTCCAAGAACTCCCAATCCCCGGCACAAATATCAAATTGTGGTGCGACGTATCCTGTGGGCAGCCTAGACCGTTCGTGCCCCACGTCCACCGCCGCGCTGTTTTCGACCGCATCCATGGTCTCTGCCACCCGGGTGTGCGGGCCTCCCAGCGCCTCCTCACGCAACGTGTCGTCTGGCCCGGCATCAAGACCGATACTAAGAAATGGGCTGCCCAGTGCCTGGCCTGTCAGTCCTCCAAAATACATCGTCACACACGGGCCCCTTTAGAAACCTTCCCTATACTCAAAGGACGTTTCCAAGTAGTGCACCTCGACATAGTGAGACCTCTTCCATCATCGTGTGGTAGCACCTACATCTTCACCTGCATCGACCGTTTCACCAGGTGGACAGAAGCCATCCCCATGCCCAATGCTACAGCAGAGTCTACCATCCGCGCCTTCATGTCCGGCTGGGTTTCCCGCTTCGGCCCCCCCGCTACCGTCATCACTGACTGAGGAGCCCAGTTTGAGTCACAACTCTGGCACAGCCTCCTACAGTTCCTCGGCACGACTAGGCAACGCACCACCGCATAACACCCTCAATCCAATGGCATGGTAGAGTGGTTTCACCGGCAGCTGAAGGACGCACTCAAAGCACAGCACGACCCTTACAGCTGGACGGATGCGCTACCCTTAGTGCTCCTCGGCATCCGTGCTTCATACAAGAAGGATATGGACTGTAGCCCAGCAGATCTCACCCTAGGCGAGCCACTTCGCCTACCCGGGGATTTCTCACTCCCTCCTGACCTGCACCAAACCACTCCTGCCGTCCATCACGACTTACTCCAGAAGCTACGACAAGCAGTTTCTGCATTCAGAGCTACTGCTCCACGCCAGCCTCCTCGTCGCCCTGAACACATCCCTCCTGCACTACTCACAGCCGAGTATGTTTTCGTCAGGCATGATGCTCACCGCAACCCACTACAACGCCCCTACGATGGACCCTTCCAGGTTGTGACCCGTTCAGCGAAGTTCCTGACGATTATCCGGAATGGCAGACACGAAACCGTCAGCATAGACAGAGTCAAGCCGGCCACCTTACCCGTTGAGCCCCCGACCCAGCAGCACCACCAACAAACGACGCCTGCACCAGTCTACCCGCAGTTGCCACTGGCAGCAACACCCCGCCCACGACATTTTTGGGCACCCTCTTTTCACCCTCAGGTGCCCCCTGCTCCTGTCATGAACCCTGCTGCCGTAATAGAACCTGCTCCTGTTATAGAACCTGCCCCGGTCATGGACCCTCCTCCTGACGTCGCCCCTGACCCAGTCAACCCAGCCAGTGGCCCTGAGGAAGCTGCCCCAGCCGCTATAGAAGCACAACAACCTGTACAACCTCCTCTAATCCAAAACCCTCTTTCTCCCCCTGATTCCCCCACAGGTGCTGTGTCATTAGACGGAGTTGTAACCCGCAGTGGCCAAGTGGTATGTACACCTGCCTGTTATGTATCACATGTGGGACGGAACCCAGCTAACATCCCCATCGCGCCCGGAGGGGAGGGGGAGTATTGTAATGGAGGCCTCCCCTACAAACGCCGTGTGTCACTGACTGGCCGACCCCCCGCGAATCTGCCGGCATATCCCTCGTAGTCAAGGTCAGGTAACCAGCGACGCCGAACAAAGCGGGGGCAATCCATCAAGCCACGCCTACCGCGGTCATATAAGACCTCACCTGGCCTTCATCGCTCTCTTTCTACTTACCGCCACCAACAAGCAACATCCCTCAACAGCTCCATACACATGCTCCCTCAGAAAGCTCCTCGCCCTACAGGAACTCTGAGCAAGCTTCGCCCGACTTAGTATCTCTTTAACACTGTGCTGTGCAACAATATATATATATACGAGAAACACTGTGATTTTCTATTTCTACCTCAATCCTGAGTGTTGGATATATTTCATGTACGTACATTGTGAGGCCAAATAAGAGACCCTGACAACCTGCCACGACAGTACGCTACAACCCTCTGACCCGACTACTGACTGCTGCAGTGCTTTTTGAAGATTAGTAGGGTCATTACGTAATACCTGACCATTGTGGACTTGATCTCACCCTCCTCTGTATATATATATATACCTTGTTCTGTACTTCTTAGTCTGTACTCACCCCTGAAGATGTGAATTACACGAAAGCGCTTGGGAACTTCATGTTTTCTTTTTCCTTGTGGTTATCAGCATATATATATATATATATATATATATATATATATATATATATATATATATATATATATATATATATATATATATATATATATATATATATATATATATATATATATAAGTAAATCTTGATAAGCAATGGGGTTAGGTTCCTGAAAAACCCATCATTAAGTGAATTAATTATTGTAGATAGGGAGCATTATAACACTGGGTTTAATGGGATATGTTCCCAACCAGTCATCCCAAATACACATGTATCACGGACAAAACAATTCCTACAATACTAATATCAGTTCAAAACAATTAAACAGCACTCACCACATCCTGAAGAATAAGATGGGTCATCATCACATGTCCCTTTTGAAGATTAGGGGACTCCTGTAGGTGGAATGGAGATGTCACTCTGACTTCCACACAGCTTCTGGGAAGTCTCATGCTGATTAACAATGTCAAGCTTCACCTCAGAGACACAGTTGTCTTGGATGCCTGGGCCTTCCCAGACATTTTCAAAGTTACACTGGTCACTTCACAGTTACAAAAAACAGAGCAAAAGCATAAACAAAATAATATCACGTAAGAGTCACTATTTCACAGTTCAATCTAAATGTTAGTGCTGTCTTCTCACTATATAATGTCATGGACACTGCTTCATCCAGACTGGCAAACCACCCCGAATTAATTTCTGTTAATCCTGATATGAGTCCGGAGTAACATGAAATAGTCAGGATCTACTCCTGTGGTGGCAAAAAAAAAAAATCAAAAAACATTTTTGAATCACTGGAAGCACTAACCTGTAGTATAAAATATATAATTCTTGTACAGTAGCTAAAAGAATTATTTGTGCAGGTGGGGATCGATATGCTCCAAAATTTTACGCGTGACTAGTGACAGACCTCATATACCACAATTTATCGTCCATGGTCTCGAATTGTTTCCCACAAAGCATGCACAGATACTTGTTTTAGCTACTGTACAGTACATACTAGACATACAGTATTTACCAAAAAGTTGATGATGCTGTTGATGGTAGTTTTGTTCGTCATATTTCTCCATCAAAACTTTTGCAGAAACACCTTTTTCATGATCTTCCAGAACTGCTAGCTTGTCCTTCAAGTTAAACTCCTCTATGACCCTCTTCTGACTTCCTTTTGAAGTAGTCTTGCCTTTGGAAACCATTGTAATTAGTCCACAAAGTCACAAATAGCCTACATGAGGACTGTAGCAGCGCAACTGGCTTGTAAACAAAGTGGCTGGTGTTTGTGTGCACCAGATGGCAATCTGGACTGACATTCAAATTTTTTTTGGTGAATCCAGGCTTTTTCCATATTAAATGAACCCCCCTCCGGAAACCACTTTATCCGGAAATCCGGTAAATATGGACTGGATTTCCGCCCCCCCCCCCCATTAGTACAGATTAAGAGGGTTTTACTGTACCTTTAACCAGTATATCTTCGATTCAATCCCTGGCCTAAGACAGATGTGAGAAGGGTGTTATACAGTGTGACCTTAACAAACATTGCAGGTCACCTCTGGGTACTCTGGTTTCCTCCTGTATTAATACAGCACTGGATTATATACAGTGGTCCCTCGGTTAACGAACGGTTCGATTAACAAAATTTCGGTTAACGAAATACCTCCCATAAGGATCTTCAATTCGGTTAACAAACAAAACTTCAATTAACGAAATCCTTACGAACAACACGTTTTGTTGCGAGCATCAGTTGATCAGCTGATGGGCTAGTCTGCCAATTCAGTAATCTGTTCTATGTTTACATTCATTTCCAGTGGAGTAAATATCAAGAAAGTTGTGCTCTTTAATATTTTTGCATTATTTATATTACAATTACAGTACTGCATTAGTCATTTTAAAATTTAGTTAAAATATTGATATCTACAGTACAGGGAACTCGTTTTCTGTGCGCCCATCAGCAGCTTGACTCAGCCAACAGGCGTCAGTTTGGCTTTGTTGACAGTGGAGTGAGCACCTATTTTGTTAGAGTCTTGAATGTTTTTGCATTGAAATTATTGGTCATTCTGAAATTTAGTTAACATATTGATAATGTATAGTGCAGTGCAGTGTTCATTTTAATAAAATAATCTTGAATTACACCTAGTGAACTTAAAATTTTATTGGTGAAATGACGGCATCAAGCATGGGTCCCCTGAAAGGTGATTTCTCCTCCATCCCCACTTCCTTCTCTTCTCCCTTCTCCTCCACCCCACTTCTAATTCCCATCATCATCATCAACCAGGAACCTTCTACATACACACCTCAATGTAAGTGTACTTTACTGCAATTTTTTTTTACTTTGTATGTACTTTTCGGTGTGCTGGAACCAATTACCCAATATCCCATTGAAACAATGGATTCGGTTAATGAAATTTTCGGCTAACGAACGACCCTCTGGTACAAATTGTGTTCGTTAACCTAGGGACCACTGTATAGGTCATGATAAAGTAATAAAGAATAAACAAACCATCTGAATGGCTACAAAGATGATAAGCGGTGGTATGATAAATAAAATTAAATGAAGATAAAATAGCTTGAAAACATTTGGGGTGGTGAGCATTGAATACTGTACTAACCTTCAGATATGAGGATACCACTTTGATTGATTGAATTATGAATAATATACCGAGAAATTGTTATTTTTCAAAGACAGAGTTTACCCATTGATTTCACTACAGTGAACCCTCGCTTTACGCGGTCCCACTTTACGCGTTTCCACGTTTACGCTGTACCCTGCCGAACACGGAATGCTCACTTTCCGCGGTGTGTACCCTTTTATGCGGAGAGCAGCGCGAGCAGGGTGCGCACAAGGTCGCCCAGTCATCAAAACATTACCGAGTTCTTCACCCGCCACCCACCACAGCCGGCCCAAGTCAGTGATAGTGATAATGATAGTGAAGATATGGACTTGTATGGACTTTGAGGGGTTTGACAAAGAGGCCCTGCAAGCCTCTGTGGTGGATAGTGATACAATTGATACAGGTGAGGGCCAATTATCTGCCCTCTGCCTCGGAACCAACCCCCCATCCCCGTGTGCCCAGCCATCTTTTCTACTAATGTAAGTGTTAAAAAACCTAATATTATTGATATTTCTCTTAATTATTAATTGTGTGTGCATACCATCATAAAATTAAGAAGTTATTTTTAGTACAACATAGGTATTGTGTCTGAAAAAGTGGAGTTTGGGGGTCGGCCCGGTCTCTATTTCAATTAATCCCATATGTTATGTTGTTCACTTTACGCATTTCTCACTTTACGCGGGCCGCCATGGGTTCAATTGACAGCGTAAAGTGAGGGTTCACTGTACTTTATATCACTTAGAGGGATGAAATTAAACTCATTACAATAAAGGAGATACTATTTACATCTTTAATTTAAAGAGAAAATTCATTACTGCAGTACTACATAAAAGGCTTTGAAATCATGATACTGTACTGTATTTTACGGCATATAAGAAGCACTTTTTTTTTTTTAAACCAACTCAAAAAATCAGCCTGCATCCTATATGTGAAGCTGAGGTCTCCCATAAGCTAATGAATCCCCAGTTGCTGTCTCCAGTAGGATAATTTCTACCTAACCCAACTCCAGAATTAAAAATATAGTATTGCTTACTAAAACAGATTATCATTATTATTTTTAATTAGAATAATAATTATTGTAAATATAAATGCTCAATTTATAACTACTGTACCGATGATGATACCCCAAGACAATTAATGTCCGGACGGCAGACATCCATCTCTTCAGAGGTAGCTAATCAGTAACCATTTCTGAACTATACAGGTATTACAATCTATTAATGCCATACCTGCAACATTTCCTTTAAATCTACAAATACCTGATACAAATGAAGATTTACAGATAACTTTCTTTTCACATTTGCATCTGTTAACATCACTGGCAGCATTGTAGCCAAGTTAGACTCCCCACTGTAACCACCTGGCTACTGGGCCTGTATCAGCCCCTTAGTCTTTATATAAATGTCAGGGCAGTACATTGTGTTCATATAATCATATCACCCCCTATAACTTTCCACTGGCTATGAAGTGACATGATCATATCACGTGATGGGCAAGTTCCTTGAGGCGCGGCCCAGTGACTGCTAAGGTCAGCATAAAAAGGCCGGCACCCTCTGGCATTGTTACTCAACCCCTCACACCGACCGGACGTATTTAGCAGGACTATTTAACATAGCCTCCGTCCTCCTCTTAACACTCATAGCTACAGTGATAAGTTACGGTGATATACACTTGGAACTGTATCCTAGATAGTTCCTGAATAAATGGATAACAGACAATTGGGTTTCGCTACTAAAACCCTATACTGTATAATATACATGTTCCGGTCTCGATAACCCAGACGGAATCAGCAGTTAAAAAGGCCTAGAACAGGTCAAGCTGTGAGGTATGTTTTTTTTTTCATCTCATATTTTTAGGTAGAATATACATAACTTTCTTCATTTATTTTTACTCATTTACATACAGTATTTGCATTTTTGCTAATTTACATATTCGCACCATTCTACGTATATATTGGGAAAAAATAAAAATAAATAATTGTCCTAAGGGCAAAAACATAAAGTGAATACATTTCTTTGCACACGAGTTAGTTGGCTTAGTGGGGGAGCGGTAGGAGGCAGGACATGTGGGGGGAGCGTTGCTAGGGAATCGGTGGAGGTGGCATCTGTGTTGCTATGGTGAACAAGGGAGTACCGGTATATGCAAATGGCAACTGTGTTAAACTTTCAATCGGCTTTTATTTACTGGTTTGGCAATACAGTATTTTTTTTTAACTTATTTATTGGTATTATTTTTAATTATTCCTCACATTTACTGGTACTGTTTATATTATTTTAAGAAAACTATGGCTACAGGAGGAAAATCCACACAGAAGTTTTTTCCTAAATAGTCCCTGCTAAAATGGGGGATGTCTTATATGCCGTAAAATATAGTAATCATGTGCAAAGCACTTGGTGAACTGGAGCTTGGTGTGGCAAGTATAACTTATATGTTAATCTTTTCCTAATACGAAAGGGCTACATGAAGTTAAATATTCTAAGATTCATCCACTTTGTCAGTTGTTAATTTCATAGCTGACAAGACACTTTCTTATTTAGGCACTATTAGAAGGCATGGGGTATGCACAGGATACTGAATGTACCTGAAATTGTTCAACTTCTGATCTATCCTTGACATAATTATCAGATTACATGGTTGGGGCTGCCACATCGTTTACCAATAGCATTTCCATGAGTTCACAATTATCCTTCCAAAGAAGTTACTGTACTTCAGACAGTTTCCTATGCTTGCAGCATTCTTAGCTTAAGGCTGTGACCTCCAATACAGCAAACATCAGCTAATTTTAAATATGTACATTTGACTGGGTCGCACCCATAGAGATGCTTATTCATCTAAACTGAGTCTCCAACTGCCATTCTGTATTATAAAATGGGGACAAATGAAAAAATTCTAGCCTCTCTTGACAAGTGAGGTGTCTGAATGCTGGCACCAGTCAGGTAGCCCTTATTCTAATGCACTTTCTCAATGTTTCTCAATCGATTGATATACAGTACTGGTTATATCTCTGAGTACAAGAAGAATACAAAACTCCAAGTGTTGCTGTGAAATACCTTTAAATTTGCAGCTAAATACAAGTAAAACAGGTTTTAAAAATACAAAAATTTCAAAATATCTAGAGCCTGAAACAGAAAAAAAGTGAATCTAAGGTTCTAATGCAATTCAAATAATTGGTACAATATGTGATGGAGTTCATTATTGGGATCTAGGAAGGGGTGGTTTAAGGCACTCATTCCAATCAGGCCAGAACCTTTCCTTGATACGTTGGCAGTAGGCCTGAAGATTGGTGAATTCAGCTGAAAGAAAAGAACATTTTAACATCTTGTTCCTAATGCATGAATGCAATGTGTAAAATTTACAGTATATGAAAAATCATAAAAATATTTCATATGAAAATCTGGAAGAATTCTTTTCACCAAGTTAAAAGAATTTTGTCAAACATTTTACAACAGTAATAAGCTATAAAATTTTCTGTTTCCAACTATCAAATCATCAGCTAGGTCTCTTTGCATTACAGTGATCCCTCAGTTAACGAAATTTCGGTTAACGAATTACCTTCCAGAAGATTCTTCACTTCGGTTAACGAGCAATCCCTCGATTAATGAATTCCTTACGAGCGCCCCTCAACATGTTTTTGCCTGCTAACTAGCTGTAGTATTAGTCCGCCAATACAGAAATCGGTTCTAGGACTTAAATTCCTTACCATTTTAGTAAATATCAAGAAGGTTGTACAATTCAATCATTTTAAAAGATTTATATTAAATTTTTTAGTCATTTTAACAATTATTGAACATAATTGAAGTACAGGAAACTAGTTTTATGCGCGCCAAACAGTCACTCAACACACCAAGCTTGGCGTCAGTTTGTTTACCAGTTCAGAGGAAGGAAAATCTTGTTTGAGGCTCTTCAACATAAACACTTTTTTTTGTGTTTCCAGTCATATTATTGGTCATTTTGAAATATATTTTACATATTGATAATATATAGCGCAGTGCAGTGTTGATTTAAAGAAATAATCTTGAATTACACAAAGTGAACTAAAATTTTATGGGTGAAATGGCGGTGTGGGGTGACTTCTCTTCCACCCCAATGCCTTCTCTTCTCCCTTCTCCTCCACCCCCTTTCTAATTCCCATCATCATCATCATCATCATCAACCAGGAGCCTTCGACATGCACACCTCAAAGTAAGTGTACTTTACTGCATTAATTTTTCGTTTGTATGTAATTTTCGGTGAGCTGGAACCAATTACCCAAAAACCCATTGAAACAATGGTTTTGGTTAACGAATTTTTCGGTTAACGAGCAACCTTCTGGAACGAATTGTGCTCGTTAACCAAGGGACCCTGTATAGCCAATTCTCTTTGAGCAGGAATCTGGATAAGCAGACCCTATCTGGCCAGTATGAACTTTTGGAGAACAATTGAAAAACTACTTCTATACAGTACAAGTTTATATTGACAGCAAGGGGATAACAACCTAGGTTAGCACACTTAGTCTCGTGTCACTGACTCCACAGGACAGGGTGGCGGTGGGGGACTCTGTGTGGTGTCCCGTTCCCTTCAGGAGGAAGAGGGTGGGAACGACGTCTTAAATAACCCATGGCCTAGGGAATACTACTCAAAATGTGATTTTGGGGCGTGAGGCAATGAACAGTACAACACTGTCTCAATGGTAGACCAGTTAAATCTGAAGGATAATGTCACATGATGGATGGTGCCAATGGGAGCTAGAAGTTCCAACTTGGCCACCTTGTTAGTTATGATGAGGTCCAGCAATTTGTGTGTCTGCACCCCTCTATAGTGAGTAGGATCTTTCACATGTTGGAATAGAAAAGTGTGTTTTAGAGTTTCTACAAAAAGAGTAGCAATATCATAAGAGTCATTTAGTGTAATTTCATTCCTCCAGTTGGTTGGCATAGCTGAGGTCCCCCATGAGAAGGTGGCGGCTAGAGTCGAGTGCAGTTATATTATCTACTAAGGCTCTTAAGTTCCCATGGTTTAATAAGCTAGTTTAGGGATCTGTACAGTAGATACATCCAAAAATAAGTCAATCTCTCCTCTTCAATTTAATTTTACACCACATCAATTCTTCAAAAGTATCCTTCCCCTGCACTCTCACCTGGCTGGCTCTAAGGTCCTGTCTAGCATAAATTACCACACCCCTCTTGCAAGTTGCCTAAGAACGGTTCATAAATGAGTCATATCTCTCATGTATCCTGACATTAGTATAGTACAGTACTCACTTTCTATCATCTTGAGGTACGGTGAGTTTGGGGAGTTCCAAACAATCTGTGATAACATTCCAAAGACAGCACAGTCCACCTCAGTTGGTTCATCACCCATCAGGTACCGCTTCTCTCCTAATGATCCAAAAGTAAATAATATTACATATAAATTACATCACTCCTAAAACTTCTTTACAATGTTATCATTAGTTGTGCTGATTACAGAAGTACATACTGTGCAGTAAATCATGCATAATCCATGGGATAAGGTTCCAACAAATAACTATAGCAAATTCTAATCCAATGGGGCCTAATGGATATACATTAAGCGTTTAAGTAAATGATGTACTGTACAAGAAAAGGTAAACATTGGAACACCTTAGGTTTCAACTTTATCCAAGACATCTTCAGGTCAGGTCAAAAATATGATTCACTAATCCCCTACCCCACCTCCATTACAAGTGTTAAGATGTGAAAGGTGATTACAGTTACAAATACCCTGTACTGTACTGTACTGTACATTCAGCAGAGTGGACAGTACCGGTACGCCTATTGTAAGCTCAAGATGAAAGCATCTGTTGGTGAATACAATATATACAGTAAAGTACTAGTACAAGTTATTTTATTTACTTATATTATATTGTACATGTACAGTGGTGTTTGCATAAATAAATACAGCTCTAGTGTCCGTCCGTGCAACATGTGTAGTTTAGACTCTTGGGGAAATTTTCCCCAGTACATTACAGGGAGGAAAATTCCAGTCTTTCTGTCACACACAGCTCTATTCACACCTCACATGCCCATATCATATAGATTCAGTATTATCTCAGTAAAAAAAAAATGGTGTTTCTAACTCAAATAGAACCGAATTTATAGACACCGGTATTAATATTTCTTAATTTTTTTTTCATAAAAGAATTGTCTCCATTACATTATCATGTCAAAATATTTTGTTTAAGGATATTTTATTCAAATATTCTTGTAAAGAATTTATTCAGGATCATTATCGTACCAAATTTTTTTCACTAACACAATTAGAAAAGTTGCTATGAATAAAAGTTTATACACTTTTTCACTACCCTTAAATATTTTCACTTGTGACCACGACCTAAATGTAATGGGAGTGTCTGACCATAAGAGATGCGTAGTTTAGGCTCTTGGAAAACTTTCCCCAGTACCTGGAAATCTCTCATTCCCAAAAGTGCTCTGCACCAATTGTTCCGGCTAACTGGGATATCACTGTACTGTACAGTATACAGTGGTCCCTCGGTTAATGAACGGTTCGATTAACGAAATTTCGGTTAACGAATTAGCTCCCATAAGGATCTTCAATTTGGTTAACGAACAAAACTTCGATCAACGAAATCCTTACGACAAACACGTTTTGTTGTGAGCATCAGCTGATCGGCCAATCCGCCAATACAGTTATCTGTTCTATGTTTACATTCGTTTCCAGTGGAGTAAATATCAAGAAAGTTGTGTTCTTGAATATTTTTGCATTTTTTTTACTAAAATTATTGGTCATTCTATAATTTAGCCATCCAAGCTCTGTCTACATAAAGTTTTTCAACTAATATTTTTGGCTCAATATATGTAACTTTATTCATTTATTGAAACTCATTTACATGCACACACTGTCCTAAGAGCAAAGCTGTACTGTTTATTATAATCAAAATAATGTACTAAAATTTTTGTCTAGTGGAAACTATAGCATGTTTACATTCAAATTAATCAATACAGTATCTTATAATAATTCCAGCAATGTAAATTATGTTCTCCCCAGTAACTTCTATGGCATTTTATAAGCAAAAAACAAAAACTCAATCTAAATGACACAAATAAACAAATAAATACTTCACTAGACCTTCGCAACTGTCAAACATGTCACTGTCACCCACCCCCCTCCCAGCAAGGGTTTGGTGGTTATACAGTAGACTTACAGTTTTATCTTATATAATTTCACAGACTAAAGTTAGGAGAATATAATTTGTATTGCTGGAATCCTTGCAAGACAGCGAATAATTTGAATATAAACGTCATATATTTTGCACAAGAGATAAAAATTAATCACCTGTATCACATTACAGTAGTAATTTAAGAGTTCAAGTGATTTAAGGGCGATTTAGGGGAATTTTAGGAGTGTTTCTGACTTTATGCATTTTTTGGCTTTACTTTGTATGTACTTTTCTGTGAGCTGGAACCAATTACCCAATATCCCATTGAAGTAATGGATTCGGTTTACGAACGACTCTGTGGAACGAATTGTGTTCGTTATCCGAGGGACCACTGTGTAGTATATGTAATAACTCCATCAGTCGGAATCCCTATTAACCCCGGAACTCTCCAATAGCCGGAATTGAAATTTGCTTAGAATTTTTCCGGAAAATTCTCTTGATCCCAGGTTTGAAAACAAGTTCTGAGGTTGAAAATCAGGAGCATTTTTTTTAATTAAAAAAATAAATAAAATCTGGAAAAATCTGTCCAATTTTTTATTTCCGGGTCTGGGAGCAAGTGTCGATTTTGAAATAATACACAATTATTGGAAAATCTGATAAAATGGCGAGAAAATCACTCCAAACCTTTCTGCTCTGGGCCTGGGGACATAGGTCAGTGGCATTATGAAAGATTGCACCATGTTTAGCCACATCCTCACATGGTTGGTGCATGGGTGGGAGGACCAACTGCTTGGGTAGCACTGGATTTTTTTGTTCTAGCTCTATTTATAATTACAGTACTATGCAAACAATTATTTTTTTAAATGTACATATAATACTAAAAAAGTAAAATAATAAAGTAATAAATCAACGTAAATCCGAGCTGAGCTAACAAGGCGAAGGGTGAGGTGACAAGTCAGGTGGTGAGGTGATGAGACAATAGGTGAGGTGACGAGACAATAGGTGAGGTGACGATACAATAGGTGAGGTGACATGCCAAGACACTTAAACAGCACACACATTAACAGCACTACTAAACCATTCTCATATAACATTTTACTCTATAATTTCTATTTTATAATTAATTGATACATGATGGCTCGATTTTGCTACTTTTTCACTTAGACAACTGATCAGTGAATAAACCAGAGCATATGGAGACTCTACAATATTATTTACTAAGTGCTCAAGTACCTGCGGTAAGCACCAACCCTCTTGAGCAGTGACAACAATGGTGATTGAGAGATGGTGAGTGCTGACAACATTATTAGGGAGAGAGATGTCAGCTGTTACCTCTCTGTAAACAAGGGACTGAGAATATACTACAGAACAATAGCTCATTTGGCACGGAAATTAATGGAATCATGCTTGATTAAACAAACTAGTTCGCCAAATCGAGCAAAAATAACAGAAGTTCAATTTAGCAGAAATTTCAATTAATGGAAAGGGGTGGTTCAAATTAATTCATTAAAGCGAGAAAATGCTGTATGGAGATAGTTCCTAATGACGTATGAGAAGGGTACAGGTACCTGTATTAATAAACACACATTATTACGGTACCGTATCTTAAGTAATTAATGAATAACAAATAAACAATGTTACATCATGAATGACAGTCGTTTGATTAACGAGTGTGGGACACAGTGGATGGGTGGGAAGGAGGGAGTGAGTGGATACCATACAGTTCTACTCTGGGTGAAGCTAATACATCTTTGCATCACAGAAGTTATGATATAGGTGGTGATAACAGAGGTAGTGGTGGGGGTGGTGACTGTGGTGGTTGTGGTGAAAGAGACTGTGGTAAGTGGCAAGGAGGTGATGCTTCTATAAATTTCTCTAGTAACACTGTGCCTGCAGCACTGCCAGATGCTACTGAACAGCTAATACCTACACACAAAATTTAGTGCAAATATTAATGAGTAAAGTTGTATCCCTTCAACATTACATTACATAACATTTTAAAATATGGAGTGAGAAAGGTGTGGGTGATTAGAGATATGAAGTGGAAATAAGTGTTGCCAATCGCTCCTCAACAGCTGATCTTTAACCCGCCACTATGCAGTCACGGATTTGTGCATCAGTTAACCACACACAAATATATGTCATACAGTAAGACCTACACTTAATATAATATTATAAAACAAATCACTAAACCAGCACCACAGCAGTCGTTACCCTCACTCTGGATGCTTTGCTCTATAAGTCCCGTGTTGGGGGTGTGTGGGTGGTGTTGGGGTGTGTGGGTGGTGTTGGAGGGGGTGTGTGGGTGGTGTTGGGGTATTAGTGAGGGGAGGGGGGGCTAATGAGTGGGTTGCATGTGTTATGCCATTCAGAGATTGCATCATCATATCTCAGAATATTATAAGTGATGTAATTTTTGTTTTTTTAATAATTACAAAATAATTCAGTTAAATATTTCAGTCATTCCTAGTTATAAAGGGAAAAAATTACAGTATACACCTAGACCCCGACTTACGACGGGGTTAGGGACCCAAATCCAGGTCGTAAGTCCGACATAGATAAAAAAATTATTATTATTATTTTTTTTTTAAATAAATAATCTACAATGAAATACAGTACAGTAAAAGTAATGAATAATGAGGAATGGATACAGTACAGTGAAAGTAATAAATAATAAGGAATGTTTACAGTGTGACTGAGCACTTACCTTTAATGTAGTCAGCTGAATGCACATGGGGCCCCCATAATTTTCTAATTATACATGGAGACTACATTAACTGGAAACGTTTCGGTATAGAAAATGCGTGTCATTTAAATTTTTTTTTTTTTTTATCTATATCTGAGGCGGTCGTAAGTCCACGTAGTCGTAAGTCGGGGTCTAGGTGTATATATATTCTTCTCAGTCATAAGTTTGTGAAAGGAATACCTAATATTCAGTACATATGCATGTTTCATTCATAGCGTTGCATGTCAGGTGTGCATTCATGTGTGTTTTGATGGTGCAGTGGTGGTGATACAAGTACGTATGGGGCAGGCCTCGGATGACGCATCGCAGCTACTGCGATCCATTTGACTTGCCTAATGTTACACCACATCCATTTGCTTTCTCATTTAATTTCTTTTTCTTAATGTATAATACAACTGTATAAAGTAACTGTACGTACCTGTGCAGTATTTAGCGGGCAAAAGTAAAGCCTTTTGCTCTAGTTATTATTTTTTTAGCCTACAATCCCTAATTTAAGAATGATACTAAAGCTAGAGTTTTAAAGAATGTTAGTCGCAAAATTTTACATTTGTGAGCGTCCCAGGAACCTATTCCCCATGAATGTTGAGGCTCTGGTGTACATGCTAATTGTAAATCTGGCTGAGATAGGCACTTGCACATCAAATTCATTTGGGTACTTTACAAGAGACCATAAGGTGAATGCTATTCATAATTAAGATTAGTAAAACACTAATGTTAGCACACACAAAAAAAAAATAACTGACAGCAGACACTACTGGAATTATTGTTTATAACCAAACCTCTACTTTCCTTATAAAGTAAAATACCGATTTTGTGTATACTGTAAGCGATTTAATAGAAATACCATTCTTGGGAAAGGGTGCGGCCCTCTACCTATGCTTGGCACGACCGAGAAGATGGGTTATCTTTGGTCATTCCCGTTACGTTCCTCACTTCCTGGTTGGCGCTCAGTTCACTTGTTGACACTGGCCAGCTTGCATTACTCTTGTGCTTTAATTGTTGTGTTTTGCGCCTCAGTGGTAACAATGTCTTCCAAACACTATCATTAAATTACCCAGCATCAAATAGTGCAAAACATGGACGAGTTACTCCAACAGACAACAAGAAAATGGAAATATTATGTCATGTTAAGGCAGGTGAAACAATGGAAGCTTGAGAAGGAGTACAAGGATGGAACATGCACAATCTACAATTTAAAGATAATTAAGACCAGATTATGAAGTTTTATACCAAAACAGAATGAAACAACGGAATTGAAGATATAAAAATGTAAAACAGTTAAAGTTTCCAAAGTTAGACAGTTCTGTACAAGAGGTTTAAGCAGAATTCCAATGAGGGTGAACCTCTTTCAGGACCAATGATCATAAAGAATGCCAAGCAATTTCATTAACAAATGAGTATCAAAGAGCCTTGTGACATTATTATCAGGTGGCTAAATCACTTCAAAGACGGGCATGGTATTTTAAAAGCTCTTTCTGAAGAATTTACATACATATTACAGAATCGCTCAAACCCGGAACTTTCCGAAAACCAGAATTTAAATTTTCTCAGAAAACAGTTCCCAAAGCCAGAATTTTCCGGAAAATTACAGCTTTGGGAACGATTTTCCGAGTGGCACATTTTCCGGAAAATTCCAAGAAAATTTTCCCAATACCCGGAAAATTCCGGGGATGGGCAAGTTTTTTTTTCATGTATGAAAGATGAAAATCAGGCGCATTTTCCGGAAATTCAAATAAAAATTTTGGGCGCCCCGAAAATTCCGGAGATGAGGGATATTTTTCCGGGTTCGAGAGATTGTAGGGCAATTTCTGGAACTTCTGAGAAAATTTTTCCATTACTCGGAAAATTCTGATGGGGGATATTTTTCGGGGTTCGAGAGATGACGTAATTTGCAATTTCTGGAACTTCCAAGAACATTTATCCATTACCCGAAAAATTCCAAAAAATTCTGGAAATGACGGATTTTTTTTTCCAGCTTTGAGAGTCATCTCGTTACCATGAAATCTCTCATTCCCGGAAGTGCTCTGCACCAATTGTTCCGGCTAACAGAGATATATCATTGCTAAAACATTGTGTTGCAAAATTATGGATTTATGTAATTTATTATAGCTATACCAATTCTTGGGAAAATTCTATTTACCAGTAAGAGATGTGCTTCTTCCCAATCTACTCTATAAAATCAGTATTTTACTGTACTACTTTCAAATTTATTTCCTAATGCTACAATATTTCTATTTTATTGGAACAATGTATATACCATATAAGGAAGATAAGAAATAAAAGTGGATAAATTATAAAACAGTGCATTCATATTAATACTCAGAAATGTGGATAGAGCCTGCAGATCCAGATGTCCCATAGAAAGCACTTCCATTTGAGAATGTCTGCCAATACCATGCATATATGCTTGAGCATAAAGCAATTGGCCTATGAGAGGACGATAAAACCAATGAAATGGTAACCAAGTTCCCCAGTCAGTTAGAGAAGACACCCCACAGGTTGAGTCGTACACCCATCTCCACATGATGTTACACCTGAAGTAGCACAAATTAAATTATGATTCACTTTGTCATCCAATAAGTGATGGATAAATGGATCTATCTGAGCTTCTTGTGAGACTGTCTCACTCCACTTAGCTTGTCGTGGAAAACAGTGACAACTAGACAGACAGCTGGCCAGCCTACGTTGTACAGTAGCCTGTTTAGGTATCACTGTACTCCATTCCTAAGGAGTGGAATAGGTTCATCAGGTCTCATAAGAAAACAAAATTACAACCATTTTCATCACATAAAATAGAGTAGATCTAATTTGTGTACAAAACAATTCCTCATGTTTGAATCTATTCTTTAAAGTATTAATCATTTTGTAAAACAATCTGCATTTGAATTTCATTTAATCAATTGCCTCTGTAACGTCTAGTTCAATAAATTAAGAGGAAACATTGATATCTACAGTATTACATCATGAAGCAAGGGACAAACTTATTTGGTTATTGTTTACATCACTCCTGTAGCTGAAAAAATATTAATTTTCAATAGTCTCACTAATCATCTTGGTACAGTATACTAATTTACACCAACAACTTATTCAAAAAAATTTCTTATGTTCTATTAACGTGTTCCCTGCTGCTACCCAAACTTATTCTAGCCATACAAAGGTAATGATTTTCTACAAATTTTACATCTACTACTACTTTTAAATGACATTACAGTTACCAACATACAGATCTTTTACAAACAAGGTAATTATGTTGATGTCGTTCATCTTTACTTCCTATCCTCTTTCTAAAAGCTATTCATGAACTTCATATCAATTATTTGTCCTCCTTTGAACAGCCTTTCATACACCAGAAAGTGTTATGACGGCACCGAGTGTGAGCTCTTTCAAGACCAGACTTGACCAACACTGGAGCAGGTTCAGATACATTCAGGAGCCAGTGCATGCCCAGTACTTGCCAACAGTGCATAACAGAGACGTGACCGATCACCCAAGTGGTTAACAAGCCGATCAGAGGTGAAGAGGATGAAAGTAAAAGGTCAGGAAGCAAAAAGAGGGATGTGGTTATGATATTTATGCTAGACAAGATCTTAGAGTCAGCCAGGTGAGGGTGCAGGGAAAGGATGTTTTTGAAGAATTAAAGTGATGTACAGTAAAACTAAACTAAAGGGGGAGAGACTTACTCATTGTGGGATGTATTTACAGATCCCCAAATTGAATCTACCTGAAATTATGAGTTACAAAATAACCAAAACATAACAGACAGTATGGTTGGAAACATCCTCACTCAGCTCAGGAATTACTTGGGGCACATTTTAAATAGGACTTATGGGAGAGTATCCGTAAAGTTGGAAATCCGTAACCCATATACATAACAGCAGAATGGCATGGGAAATACAACTATACAGTACTGAATATCTTTACAAAGTAAAAAGCTTACACCATTTATATACCAAAATCAACTTGCTGAGACCTGTGCTATTTACTGATATGTCTTCCAGGAAAGTTGTTACTTTTGTTGATTCATATATTTCTTTGATAGCTGTTCTCTATATTGATCAGTTTTGTCTTATATGATCAAGTCAAATACCTCTTTTGTTTACTGTTAATAAGTTCTTGAAGTACTGTATGGTTTGTCTATTATACTCTCAAGTTCCTTTACTTACCACATAATATACTGTAGTACATAATTTTTAAATTTAACCCATTTGTTTTTAACAAGTCTCTGTGTATTATATTCAGGAAGTGTCTTCCCATGCTTCTTCAAGTAGAGTTAAGTTTTTGTATAAAATTTGCCTTCAGTTGTCTTGAATCCCCAATAAAAACTTGGCACTGATAAAGTTAAGTGGTGAAAAAGTTTTCTTTTCATATGATTTATTTTTCCAAGACTCAAGCCCATTCTTACTCTTCTTTAGATATCAAGAAACTGGTTTTTAACATGATGAACCCATTGTCTTCCTGAAGGTTTAATTTAATGAATATATTATTACATTAGTTTTGGTCAAGGTCATTTTCAATCCTACCCTTCAGATCTTGCATTCAGGTTAGTAATTCTGTCCAGCATGATGCAAATAAAGTAAAGACTTCCGAAAACACAAGGAAGATGAAAGTGTACGACTTAAAAGTTTTTTTCTAATAATATTAACTCTAAAGAGTATATGGAATTATGCGTACAGACACAGTACACTACTGCATAGGTCTACTGACACAAAACTATCAATAAGGAAGTGTTGAGTATGAATGCTTTTCTTTTACCAAAATTCATCTGTAAATTTTATATTCAAATTTCGTCAACACTAATTTATTCTTACATACATACTACCTAAAAAAAATCAAAATTGTACTATTTCTTTGAACTTTTTAGTCCTTTCTCACTTATCCAAATACAAAGACTTACCCTACAATCAGTAATTCAAAAACAATATGCTGTACAGCACTGTACATCCCCTGAGAAATTAACTCTAGAATGATAAATATGAAAACGCCAGTACAGTACTGTACTGTACACATATGGATATTGTAAAATTCATACGTGTATCAACAATGACCAATTTAAGTATCATAATCATCTCATAAATCAAAGTCATACGTAAAATAATTTTTTCTTCCTATATAAAAATTTTCCTGCTACACTGGTTCATGTCCAGAATCAAGAGCAACATAGATTCTTACTCAGTGCTCTGTATAGTTATCTTACCACATGTACAGTATTCTGCTTTTTGTGTTTCCATAATAAAGACCCCAATATTTCCATCTGGTATAGTATACCTGTGTCACTTGGTACATCGTCCACAACAACAGGATAATCCCTATCAAGTAAGGCAATATCATAAATAGTGAACAAGAGAATGTTACCAACCTAAGTAAACTGAGAGTGCATTAAGATCTTTCCTCCCCATTTCCTCCACCTCAGCATAGCTGTGACGACCAATTCCTTGTGCGGAGGTACTTTGCTTTATCTTCCCCAAGAATACACGGAGCATGATGGCAAAATAAAAGGGCAGCTCCATGCACACCACCAATGAGCGACCAGCATCTACAACGTAGCGCCAAACTACAAGGCACCTGAAGTAGTAAAGATGCCTTTTAATTGGCTATTCCTCTGTTTATTATTCTTATCATACCTAAACACCAAAGATAAACAGTAATACTACTACAGCATTATACAAATTATCTTACAAAATGTAGAACATGAGACTTGATGAAGAGCAAGCTGTTATTGGAAGTAGAGGCAGATCCTCGTTTACAAAAGGGTCACCTTCCTAGAAGACCTCTCATAAGTAAATTTTTCAAATATCAAAACATGTTTTCCTATAAGCTCCAATTATAAAAGCTGAGATTTCTTTCATAAGTATAAAAAATGCCTAAAACATCTTAAAATGTCACAATATGCTACCTACCATATATCTCGGCCTACAAGGCGACGGGGTGTATAAGACGGCCCCCAAAATTTCCATTTAAAAAGTAGCTTTTGAGCCCTATTCGCTGTATAAGACCGGTACCTCAAATGTGACAGTTACCATTGGGAGCTTACTGACCCAGTAGTCCTTTACCAACCATCCCATTGACCAGTGCTGTTTACACATCCTTGGTTTTTTAAAATAAGGCCAATTCACTTCAAGTAATGGCATCAAATGTTACAGGTTGGTGTAGTGTAAACACTAGTGACTCACTTAAAAGTCTGTTATTTAACTTGAACTAATGTCGGTGTCGAATACAATTGTTTCATTTACTTGAAATGGATTTACCGATTTATTTGTTTATTTATTTATTTATATCATACTGTAATATATTAAACACACTGCAAGTATTTTCTTTAATTTATAAGCTTGCTTTAACCAGCTACAGTATTCTAATTCAATAGTGTTTCATTAGGATTTGAGTGAAAAAGGTTACTGTACATACTTACTACATAGATTTATTACACAAATATATATATATATATATATATATATATATATATATATATATATATATATATATATATATATATATATATATATATATATATATATATATATATATATATATATATATATATATATATATATATATATATATATATATATATATTCTGAAGTTAATACCCACTTAGCGCTGTCAATAGAACCCAGAGGGTCCGTGTTAAGTGAAATCAAGTATGAACAACAGAACATATGGGATTAATTTACAGAAACTGCCCGACCCCAAACTCCACTTTTTGAAGACACATAACTATGTTGTAGTAAAATAACATCTTAATTTTATGATGGTACATGCACAATTAATACTTAAGAGAAATAGAGAAATACAGTCGCCAAGTTAATGTCCATTCAAATAATGGACTCAACTCTCTTCTCACACTACACTCACTGGCTCTTCCTTCGAGAAATTTTGGGGAAACCGGTATAGTAATAAATAATTCCTCAAACTAAAGTTAGATAATATAATTGACATTGCTGGATTCCTTGTAAGACCAGGAATATTTTGAATATAAATGTCATATATTTTTCACAAAAGATAACATATTTACTCAGAATAAACTTTACATCTAAAATTTGTATGTCTAATGCAAAATCTATGATGTTTATATTCAAATGATCAGCAAATTGTAAGAATTCCAGCAATCTATGAGGAACTCTAGTAAATCATCAACTGGGACCCTTGTAAAGAGTGACGTTACATCAAAGCTGACCAGTTTAAATGTGGCATTAAAAACTCATGCACTGTTAAACAAATGTTAATCAAGAACTCCCCAACAACACAATTGGTTGCATTTATAAAGTTCCTTGCAAGGAATGTAATATGTTTTACTTAGGCCAGACAGGTAAAGATCTTGCAACTAGAATTAAACAACACAATACAGTGTTAGGACAGGTTAGAATCCAATGCTCTGTTTGTTCATTTGAGGATAACAAGCATTGCATTGACTGATATGCTCTCAATATTACCATGTAAGTCAATTGACAGTAGGAACATCATAGAATCTAGTCTTATTAAACATAACCAAGCATTCAACATGAATTTGAGTAACGCATGTACAAGCTGACAATTTTGTAATTAAGAAGATTTGTGATCAGGTGAGAAGGCCGGGTCACTTGACCATCTGACCTGACCACCAACCGTTAGTGCTATTTAAAGATTAGTAGGGTCATTACTCATACCTGACCATTGTGGACCTGGTCTCACCCCTGTATATATACACCTTGATTTGTATTACTCTCTCTAGTCTGTACTCACCCCTGAAGATGTGAATTACACTTAAAGCGCTTTGAACTTCTGTGTTTCTTTTCTTCCTTGTGGTTATCAGTATACATATATATATACATATATATATATATATACATATATATATATATATATATATATATTCACAATATTTTATAATACTTGATCATGTACTAGATATTCTATATAAAAAATATAAATTTTAAATGAATTTAAGCACCAGAGATAAAATTCTTACCTCTTAAATTTTGCGGTTTAGCGTGTCAAGAGTGGTGATGGAAACATGGTAAACCACTCACAAGGTCCTACCACTAATTATTTTATACTGAAACTTACATTTGGGAAGCTGGATTAAAATGAAGATTACCGGTATATTAAAATAATAAAAATGTATTATAAACCAGTCTAACATACCGTAAAAGAACAATATACCCCGGTAATAAACACAGCTGCTATCATCCCCCCCCCCCCCCCCCCCCATTTCCCAGTGACAAGAAAGGGAAAGTGACCTTGACTGTGACCGCCTGTGGCTATTTTTAGCCGTCCTTGTGTTCGGAGGTGGTCAGTAATGCATATCTGTGTATTTACTGATCATAATACTTATCTCCTATAAATAATTAATTTAAATTTTATTTTTTTACAAAGAATATTCAGTAAATGACTGCGTTAATTCTTGAAACTACCGACAGTGGTAAATTTAGGATATAAATGATGAACAGAAGTCACGTCATGGATTCTGGATTCGGAGTTTGGTCCTTAATGATCACCATAAATTTCTGGTCAACTTCACCTACCAGGTATAATGGTAGCCTCCCTTTTTCGCAAAACAAGTATATAAATTAAAGAAAATACTTGCAGTGTGTTTAATGTATTACAGTATATTATAAATAAATAAATAAACAAATAAATCGGCAAATCTATTTCAAGTAAATGGAAATATTTTACTCACACCAACATTAGTTCTAGTTAAATAACTGACGCTTAAGTGAGTCACTAGTGTACACCAGCCGGTAAAATTTGATGCCAATACTTGAAGTGAATTGGCATTATTTTAAATAACCAACCATAAATAAATGGAAAAAAGATCAGAGGTGAGAAACATCATATTGTATGTATGTTGTGTTGTCAAAGGAAGAGAAATACAGTAATTGAAACTCTGCAACTGTGTATAAATGAGGCAGAAAGATAAATCAGCAACCTAAGACTTGGTCACAATTTTCGTGATGCCATATGGAAGTAGGGTCTACCATTAGACAATACTGTACATTGTGCTTCCAATATCTTCCCAGGCAGTAGAATCTCCCTGTTTGGTAGCTGCCTAAAACTTTTAGTAATATCACTTTGATACAACATGATAAATTAGACAAACAATGAAAATAAACAAACAAAAGTTATTTACCAAGACCTCTCTCAGAACAGAGGGATGGAGGGGGAGGGAAGATAAGACAGCTATTTATAGCCTGTATTTGTGTAGGAAGTCGACCACACTAGAAATAATTCATTAAAAATTTATATTTTTTACATAGAATATTCAGTACATGACTGCGATTCTAAAATATTGTGAATATATATATATACAGTATTACCCCGCCTAACGCGGTTTCACTTAACGCGTTTTATCATATACGCGGTGCCTCGCCAGAGCTGAACTTTCACTTAACACGGATTTTTTCCACATATACGCGGTGAGTGTCCGGCTCGAGACGCTATTTTTAGGATTTGCCCCCACCCTGCCTGACTGCCTGTTTTAGCTCATAAAATTCATACAAATTACCCGGCCAGAATATAATTTACATTGCTGGAATTCTTATAATTTGGTGATCATTTTGAATATAAACATCATATATTTTGCATTAGACATACAAATTTTAGATAAAAATTTTTCTCAGAGTAACTATGTTATCTTTTGTGCAAAATATATGACATTTATATTCAAAATATTCCTGGTCTTACAAGGAATCCAGCAATGTCAATTATATTATCCTAACTTTAGTTTGAGGTATTATTTATTAAAATTTAGTGGTTATCCCACACATCTCCTTGGGACGGTTGGTGGGGGGTGGGGGGGAGGGAGGGACCGACCGACCATCTGTTACCCCGTGAAGAATTATTTTTTTTTTTATTAACTGAAGATATTTGTTTTAACTCATAAAATTCATACAAATTACCCGGTCTGAATATAATTTACATTGCTGGAATTCTTATAATTTGATGATCAATTTGAATATAAACATCATATATTTTGCATTAGACATACAAATTTTAGATAAAAATTTTTCTCAAATTAACTATGTTATCTTTTGTGCAAAATATATGACATTTATATTCAAAATATTCCTGGTCTTACAAGGAATCCAGCAATGTCAGTTATATTCTCCTAACTTTAATCTGAGGTATTATTTAATACTGATGATTTTATGCCATGAAGAAATTCTACAATCCATGCTAGGACTCTTCCCCGAATCTCGTACCCTTCCAGTTTAATTCTCAACCTTTCATGGGGCACGCTGTCAAGAGTCTTGGCAAAGTCAAAGATGTATATTGTCGATATTGCCACTATGATCCAGAATTTGAATCCAAACATCCAGCACCTAGAGTATTTGCATCAAGCAGAAACATCCCAGCATAAAACCATGTTGACAATCCTTTACAACGTTGTTTAGAAGTGATGTTCCACCATGACATATCTTATAATGCTGTCTAGTACTTGAAACACTAAGCAGGTCAAGCTCACTGGTCTATAATTATTCATGGCATGGCAATTGCCCTGCTTGAATATAAGACTCACATTTGCTATTTTCCACAATTACTACTCAGGGATGCACTATGTCAGGGCCAGAGCTCTTGTGAACCTTTAGTTTTGACAATTTGTTTCTTATACCCTCTTCCGAGAACACAATGTGAGTCAGCACTGCCAAACCGCCTTTCCTCAAACGCAGGAAGTGCTCACATCCTCTCTTGAAAACACCGAGAAAGAATGTTTAACGCCTCCACCTTGTCCTGATCTGAGTCTGCGTAACTGCCATCTTCATACCTCAGAGCCGATACGTCCACCCGCAAAACGATCGAAAGCCTTCGGGTTTGACTTAACCTCACTTGCAATCTGCTTCTGGAACTCTTTTTCAGCCCTTCTGCACTCTGACTTTGCTTGGTTCCTGGACCTGGCATACATCTTCCTGCACTGCTCATCATTTGTTATAACCCACTTCTTGAATTTCCGAGATTTTTTTTAACTTTGTCAACCACGGCATGATTCATGTGTAATGGTCTCCTTGTATTTCAGAAGCCAGTCTGTTTGGTCTTGGATATACAGTAGGGTCAGGATATATAGCGATTTTTTATAACAAATTTTTTATGTCGCGCCTACCAAAATTATCGACAATTTCCAATATAGCGATAAATTTATTTATTTCGCAAGGGAAATCAGGCAGGAAATACAGTACAGTACTTCATATTTAACGCCATGGCAAACAAATGCGTTATTTGCTCACCAGAGGTGCCACCGTGGCTGCTCACTCACGCATTCACGCTCGCCCCGGTCGCCCGCACAGTCTTCCTGAGTGACTGAGGAGTAAACAGCCGACTCTGCTGCAGATTACGACTTCTAAGGTGAGTGTAAATGGGTTGCTAGTGACGTGAAAAGTGAAGTGAAGAGAATGGAGAGCTTAATGGAAAAGATTTAATACTGTAGCTAATATTTTTGGTTTGTTCATTTATGTAGGTGTGGCATTGTCAAGTGAGGGTGGCAGTGTGGCGTCTGCTGCCGACTTTGGTGTTCCCGGGATGGTGTATGAGCTGCCTAGTCTGGTGTTCCTTGATATTGATATTGACACAGCCTGTTGTTCCCGAGTCTAGTGTTCATTGGTGCTTTAGTTAGTAAAAAAATGAACTCGTTAAGTCAAGTTTAGTCACCTTTTTTGGGCCTCCCAGAACCTAACCCTATTTTCCCCATTGATTACATGTCATTTTATACAGTACAGTCATCCCTTGGTTTTAGCGCACTTGGTTATCGCGATTATCGTTATCACGCCTCCATCAAAGTTTGCACACCTGCCGTTATAGCGCATTTTTCAGGTCGAGAATTTGGTTATCACGCATTTGCCTCCAGGTATAATGTTTACCCCTTGGTTCACCTACATCTATTGAGGATAAAATCTTTCACCTTCAAATTGACAAAAACACATTTGCTGTAATCAGACATATCTAGTTGCCTCAACAATTGAAACTCCAGTTGCAATTGGGGTTGCAATTTCAAATTCTGTGTCATTACTTAGGAATAACAAAGTCTCTGGTGCACTCTAAGATTGAGAGAAAACGGAGGACTCAGGCGTCCTGAAGCGAGATAAAACAGACTTCTATGAGGGGGGCACTCAAATAAAGAAAGCATAGCTACATGTTTTGTGGACTACCCAATGTGCAGTATTGAACGTACCCTTTTCATCACTTTGTAATAAACCTAGCCATGCCTATGTGTGCTTCTGATAATTACCATAACATTATATCTTTAGTGGGTCTGAATGAAAGCGGTTGTACAAACACAAGCACTCACACATGCCACTCAGACTGACAGACTTGACAAGTTTTACCAACCATAAAGACAGTTGAAGCTTTAAACATCACTCACAATGGATCTTGAATATTCCAACTGTAATCAGACATATCTAAGTTGCCTCAACAATTGCAACCCCAGTTGCAATATCAAATTCTGTGTCATCACTAAGGAATAACAAAGTCTCAGGTGCACTCTAAGATTGAGAGAAAACGGAAGACTCAGGCGTCCTGAAGAGAGAAAACGGACTCCTATGATGGGGGACCAAATAAAAAAAGCATAGCTACATGTTTTGTGGACTACAGTATTGAGCGTACCCTTTTCATCACTTTGTAATAAACCTAGCCATGCCTATATGTGTTTCTGATATTTACCAAAACATTATATATATACAGTATTTAGTGGGTCTAAATGGTCGTAAAATGGGAAAGTTGGGTTTGGGTCTTGGGTGCCTGGAACCAATTAGAATAAATTCCATAGGTTCTGTACTTTCATTATCGCGTTTTTCGTTATCACGCACTCGGCGTGGTCCCAATTAGGCGTGATAACCAAGGGATGACCGTATTGTGATTTAGTATACAGTATAGCGAACATCGTTGGACCCTATCTCGTAATAGATCCCGACCCTATTGTACTGTATATTTATCAATCAAATAGGTCACTTTACTGGCTATGATATCTCGCATAGTATCTGCCATCTTGTTTCTCAGCGAATCAGGCCAGTGAATACCCCTCATCTCCTCCCCCAATCCTGTCATAATCACCTTTGTAATATTTGAATCTTGGACAACATTACATGGTGACTGGTGCCAATGGGGGCTAGATGTTCCAAACTGGCCACCATACCATCTTCCTTAGTTATGATGAGATCCAACAGTTTGGATGTTTTTTCCCCTCTATAGTCTTTAACATGATGGAATAGAAAATTGTCTCATAGTTTCTACAAAAAAAGTAGCGGGATTATTAAGGTCATTTGGAGTGGTTTCATTCCTGCAGTCGATGTCGCCATGATAAGGAGGTGGCTAGGGTTCAGGCAATCATTTACTGTCCAGAAAATTTAATTTTTCAACTAAGTACACTATAGTAGAATCACAAGATGAACCAAAAATAAGCAAGGTATGGGTATAGCTAATGGAACAATTTTTGAAGTGAGAACAGTAAAGTAGTTGATATTAGATGTGATATAAAGAGGAAAATGCTAATGAAATTAATATGGGGTGTGGTTTAAAAAAATACATGGGTCGTATGCCATCAATAAAAATAAACACTGCTGTACTAAAATCCCTCTAAGGGGAAAGACATACTGCATCTGTCATAATAAACTTAGGTCTGTGACATACAACAAATCTTGAGAGCATGGGTATGTATCATAGAGGAAAATGTGAAGCACACTCTCACCATGGCTTACTTCAGTATACTGTACACAAAACTCTTATTACAATCAGGAAAAAACAAGCACTGCTTTATGGGGGCAAAATACATGTATCAATGGTATGTTAAGCAAAGTTGCACTGTCATTTTCTAGGTATACGTATAGATTTCAATAAGCAACTAGAAGAGACTTCAGCTCTGGCAAAATGGACACAACATGTCCAGACCATATGCATACATTCACTGATGGAGTCTTTCCAAATGTGTGAATTATCACTGGGGTCCCTATAAATAACTATTAGTCAATGAGGTTATTATAAGCACTTGTGATCACTTGGCTTTAATTTTTCCTCTGCCTTTCTTTACAGGTATTGTCAAATAATTTTTTTCTTTTAAATATTCTGTCAAATTTTCATCACTGTTTTGTGGAGTGATTGTGATAGGCATGAGGTGATGTGAATGATAAAAAATTAAACTGCTTTTAACCAGTTATGAAAGGACAAATTTTGACTGATATATTCAGGGAAAAAGAAAAAGGGAATAACTGTATGAAGGTGATGAATCTGATCTGTGACAAAAGCAAGTTTACAATATCAACCAAATGATACTTCTTGTAGAAGCCTGAAAAACTGGTAAGCCTGAGCAGTCAAGTATCTACATATAACTACAGTATATTAACTTACCATAACAAGTGTTCGTCAACCATAATCCTCATGCCCTGAGCAATTGCCTTCTGTTCAGGTGTTAAGGCAGAGCTGAAGTCCTTGTTATACATTGGTCCAAGCTTCTCCATTATCAGCTGGGAATCTCCTATTTCCTCCCCATTGAGTGTAATCCATGGGCATTTACCCTTTGGTCCCACTGGTTCTTCATAGTCCACCTAAAAATAATCATAATTTTTGTTTGTTAAAAAATAACCATAAAAACAAACACATGAATTTCTGATGGTTGCATCAATATTGTTATAGCCTGCATTTCACGCAAGGCTGGGCACACTGACACTGACACTCTTATGCACCAGGATGCAATCCTGAGTCAATCATTATCTACTCCAATTGGCACTGACACGTATTTGTGTCACTTAAGATAAAAAAATACACCCAAAATCAAGTAATTCTGATTGATGCTTGAGATTCTCTCTCATGGTAATCCAACCCTAATTAGATATATGGTAATCCCTCCTAATGTGGGGCTTGAGCACTTATGTAGTCTCCTATCAGTCACATCAGAATGTGCTGCACACTTTCCCTCTAAATTTTCTCCTGGCATCTCACTCACATACTCCTGCCCTCCATTGTGTATTAAAGTATTTATTTGTTTTTTTTTACATTTGTTTTGTTTAATTTTCAATATTTCATTTATTGAAACTTTTAACCAATGACTGTGTTGAACAACTGTTAGGGATGGATTTTTTATTCTAAAATCATATATTGTACAGCAAAACTGTACACGCTAGAAAAATTCTAAAACCACCTTCACATACCGGTACCTAGACACTTATAATGACCAATGAAATAACAAAACATGAAAAAGTAATGGCTAAAACTAAAAAGAAAGTGAACTACTGTATTTTGGAATAAATTTCCAATACCTGGACTGTACTCCGGTTTTTCAATTTATCAGCCTTTTTATTATTCATACCTAATTTCTGATTTCACCAATGTAATGTTTAAAATGTCAATATTTTGTTGTATTCCACTTATAGTACAGAATTTACTCAGCTTTTTGTTGGGCAAAACACAAGTTGTTTGTTTTGAAAACTACAATGCATAACTTTAAATCAACAAAAATAATTCTTCTTTCTTCAATCTTTTATTGTTTTCTGTGAAAGCATAACCAGTTTTACACTTTTTTTTTGATGGAACAATGACTCTTTAATACTGTACTATACACCTCTGCAAGGTTAATAAACTTATCCATAATTTATACAATACCCTGTACTGTACATTTATTTTTGTGCCATTCACTTTATACAGTGGATCTATACAAACTCTTGCTATTCCCTTGGTACTTAGCCTATCATGCATACGGTAACCTATACAGTACACTTGGGTGATTCCAACTACATTAAGCACTTATCCATTCTAATGCTTACAGCCTATCTCATGTCTTACCTACATACATTTTCCTCATTCAACTTTTCATTTATAATTTCTCCTCCAACAGGACAACTCTACCTTTCTCTCAACAGCCACATTCAACAGGTGCTCATAATATTGTTCACATCTCCACTGCACATTTTTTCCCAGAGTACCATACATCCCTGCTTGTACAGTATATTTAACTGATATTTCTTTTTTATTCTCTCAGCTTTCTTACTTGACTCCCTTTGTTCCATCAAAATTTCTTGTTCCATTATATCAATTCTGTTGCAAACATTCTCCAAATTTTCCCTCTCTCAACTTTAGCATCCTTTTGCCATTACTTTATCCTTCTTTTCATATCCCTGTACAGTAATTCTTCCTACTGTCAGCATTCCTTACTTGTAGTTGATCCTCATGTGCCCCTTTCTCCTCCCCAGTTATGCCCATCAGCCTCTCATTCTACCCTTAACTTTTCTTGATTGTATTTTCTAATTTCTTGTACCTCTGCACCTCAGCTACCTTCTCTAAAACTGTACTTTGAAACAATTTAGAAAATATATATACCAGTGTCCAAATACATTAGTCTAAAATAAAGATATAAGAACAATAGTTCTTATATAATTACAAAATATATCATTCCAATTATTAAGGTACAAAATAATATAACTCACATCATCCACAAAAATGAAGGATGTTCACATCATATACATTGCATCTAACAACGTTTTCAGTGAAATTTAAATGGAAACAGAGTACAATAATGGAAACATGCTTCCACAAGAGTGAACCTCAGAACATTATAGATTGTTAAGACTCGTTAGTTATCAGAACTAGTGATGGAAAAAGTCTTTTGGCCTTGTATTTTTTTCTTTGCATTCTTTTCTCTAATTTCACTTAAAATGATAATTGATTTGTTCTATACAATATTCTTTGTTGGATAATTATTATTTTTTGGTTAGCCATTGTAGCTAGACTTAGTCCCCTCAAAAAGGTGAAAACAGCCATTTCCTTGCACAACTGGTTAAGATGAATTGACAAGGGGTTTAGATATTGCGAGAAATTAACCCCAGATTTATCTGATCTCAGGTATTTCTTTGTATTGGCCCCTGTCTCATGGCAATAATAATTATATAAATTTGGGTTAATACATTTAGTTTATATAACCCAATCAACCTACTGTAATTTTCCATAAGCTGTGAGGTGCCATGTGCTGTTCACGTGAGGAGAAATTCCTCTATCAGTAAGCCGACCTTGAGAAGGTAGGGTCAGCCCAGCCTCTCCTTCAGAGTCCCCTCACAGGCACCAGTCTTCACTTGCGTTTCACGAGAATCGGACGGGTGACCAAACTCGGTCAAACCGAGCCCCCGTCCTTAACTAACACTCACAGCTTACAGTGTATATTACGGCTCATCTACTAATAGACTGTGACCAAAATAGTCTTACCAATAAATGGAGAAAAGACCATTTTGGGTTTGTAACTTAACCCCTCAACTTATTTATATATAAGCCAAGTTAAGGGAACTCTACCCAAAGCTTATACAGTATCTTATTTATATCATCAATACACTTCAAACAGTTTTCAATGTTTCATAATTCTTGTTCCATTCTTGCTCAGGACAGTACATCAAAATATACATTTCACCCTGCATGTCTTAAACCCTTCACCCTTTACATCTTTATAATGTGCCATAACTGCTGCTTTCTTTCTCCCTGGCATTTTCAGTTCTGTTTATATTTAGCTTTAATTTCTTACACACAGTTCATATTTCATTCTACAGAGGCAACTGCAGACAAACCCTGGTCAATTTATAGTAGAGAACATAATTTGATATTTTTTTCTAATGATAAGTTCAGACAAAAACAAGACAATTTTCATCTATGACACTTTTGGCACATCTTACCCATAATCAAACATTATGTATGAGCCAATGAGTTGCAAGGGAGGGGGGGGGGCTTCTTAGCCTAGTATCAGCTAAAAAAAAAAAAATTACTATAAATGCATGTTGCCTCCTTACAATAGTACTGACACAATGAAAAAAATACATACAAGGCATGAAACCTTTGTCCAAAACAAAGTTTAACTAGCACAAATAAAATAAATTAATTACAAACTACCTACAGTACCTGGTAAGGGATATCTGCCATCCGCAGATACATTTCCAGCTTCACTACGAAGGGAGAGAGATTAGGACAAAAGTGTCCACGAGGAAACATGTGCAACACTACAACATCCTTTCCAGCATTATTCCACTTCTTTCTGTTAAATATAAAAAATTTAGTATAGAAATCTAGTAATAATCTGCTCAACATATAAAAACTTATAGATATAACTGTATTAAAAGATCATTCTCCTTGTTAGTCGTGAACTATAGAAGTTCAGGTCATCTACCTATGCTGATATCAAGCTGTGCAGTTTAGCAGTGACTGGCAACCAAAATGTGTCCTGACTAGGGCCTAAGAAAGTGGTTTCTTTTTGTTGTTTTTTACTGGGATCAGCCCACCTGGACACAGGCCATCGACCCACATCGGGGTCCAGGGGGCGAAAATGCAACAATAACAAAAATAATAATTTTTTATGTCCATGTGCCCGGCATTTGCTTGGAAAACAAACTAATAATTTGAGAGGAAAATACCTAGACAGGACACTGTTAGGTGCTGCATGACCCCATCTCACTGTACATGTTTAACTGGGGAGGTCTGTTAACAGGCCCCTTGTCATCAGTGAACAAGGATGAGTGACCTCTGTCAGGTGCAGGTACAGTACTGTAATTTATCTCTACATTAAGCCATCAACCCTCCTCTTTTTAAGTGGTGTCAAGTTGTCAACATTTCAAAGCTGAGAGGTTGTTGGCATGAGAGAACAGGAGTTATGACCTTCCATGACAACCATTACCACCACCAGATCATAGGGGGTAGGAGTGGTAGTTAAGGTTGGTGATCGAAGGTGATCACTTTCACCTCCCCACACAACCTGCAGGTGTAAGTTGGCTGGAGTAATAACATCACATGACAAGGGTTACTGCCACTGACACCATTTACATAAACACAAGTTATCTCTGAGTTAATACACACAATAAATTTGAACATTTTAAGTGTTTATATAAATTTTCCCATAAAAAAATCTAAGCAAGCAAGTTGGCTCCAAAAAAATTGTCAAGGTAAATAATTTCATGTCACTTGCCCCGGACAAGTAAATACAGTAAGATGCAGCATATAAGTCAACCTCAAGATTTTTAGTTCAAAATTCAGGTTTAGGCCTATACTCGCCGTATAAGTCGACCTCCCAAGGCCCAAACATATAGCCTATGGCAAAAGTGTGTAATAAGGCCTCGCCACTTTCATCAAGACACTTACCGTAATACCTTTCAATATTTACGATCCACCATTTGCATCAGCTGGTGTAAACAAATTGCCAGTGGCGCCACCAACTCTACACAGCCAGCTGAGAAACTATGGGTCAGTTACACTGTCAGAACACAGCTTAGACTTAAACTGTCATCCGCTTATTGACCCCCCCATACACTGAACAAGCCTACATGGCAATTTACTAAACCATCGTGGCTTTATGCTCTTGCTGGCATCCAATCATTACCCACACACCAACCTGACAACACTGTAGATGTCTTCTTGTCCAGTAGTAGCTGTTTAACACTCAGAGTATCCAGTTTTTAAACAGCTGAAAATATCTTATCCCCACGGCTCCCACAGCAAAAAAGATGAAATATGACTCAATTTTCAAGCTGAACCTATAGCGCTATCATAAAATTGTGCAGATGGCACACATATCGTAGTACCGGGTAGTTGTCTGGCTGGCTGCCTGGGTTTAGTGGCGTTCTGTTCGATTGTTTACTGTGCATCAGCTGTTGGAAATGGCGTGTGGTGTTGTGTTCATTTAATTATACATACTTGAATTTACTATTTTATTATAATCTCTATGTTAAATAAGTTTACCAAACATGAATTTCTGTAGGAAATATTAGCGGCAGGCCACGGGAGTTACACTAAGTGATGCACAGCGAGTGTTGGGCTGGCTGTTCCACTTGTTTACCACTCTGTGGTAAAGCTTCACATTTTATACTCGGTATATAAGCCGGCCTCTGGTTTTGGAGAGATTTTTTCAAGCTCAAAATGTCAACTTATACGTCGCAACTTACGGTATTCCACATGATCTGTACAGCCTGGTTAACATACAGATTTCTATGAACCAGAAACTCCCATGGTCTGCAAACTTTTAGGAAATAATACATAAAAGTTTTGACCAACACGTGTCAGAAATTTAAAAGCACAAATTTAATGTTTCAAAAATTCTGTAAATTACTAAAAATTATAAGTGCAAATTAGATGCTTCAAAATTTTTGTAAATTACCTAAAAACTTTACTGAGACACTATACAGTATGAGTAATGAATGCATAAAATTAATGTAAAGTGTATTATTGTGAAATAGTATGAGAATACAGTAAATAAAAGATATCAAAGCTGCTGATAATTTTAAGAGAATACTTTACACTTCATTAATACACTAGCAAGTTTTTTATGCTGAAAAAGAGAGAGATGTTTAAAACCACTTTGGCCATAATTGAAAATGTGTATTATTTTGAAATAATCATCCATCTATGGCCCTTCCAACATAAACTAGTAGAGTGTAATAGCATACCTCTGACAACTCATTCTCTCTTACAATGGCAGATATAAGTTTCTGGAAAAGGGGGGGGGGGGGCAAGACTCAAAAGAATGTACTTTTCTTTTATTTCCATCCACTTATGGCCACCCCCTCTCCTCCTCCTCATTGATATATGCAACTGCTCTCTTAGGACACTGCTTTGTTATAAAACTCTAAAACAGTACAAAATTTCCATGCGAGACCATATGACAAAAAGAGACATACACTGAATACTAACTGACTGTCAGTTTTGAATAGTCCTTACAGACATGTACGGTATTTACTCCACTATGGTACTATAATTATTTTTTATATATTGTTCACCCAAAATATCTAGAAAAAACATGAGTGGTATTATTGTAATGCGGCCAAACAGTCAAGGAAAACCATCAGAATGGATGTAAAAATGCAGGTACAGTAGAATACTTGAAGTGGATATTATCATGAGCATGTGTCTTAAGGAAAGCATGCAATAAACCAGACTACCGCATATACTCGTGTATAGTTCGAGTTTTTAAGACCAAATTTTTAGGCAAAAAATTGTGGGTCGTCCTATACATGCGTAATCGTTTTGTTAGGTTGAACCCGTGCATGATGGGAAGGGCGAGGAGCAACTTTTAGCTTCAGACATGAAAAATATTTACCATTTACTGCCAGTAAACAATGGAAATGTAAAATATTTACCAATTAGTAATGAAAAGTTGTGCAGTTCCTTCAGTAAATGAAGCTCACCAACTTACAATAGGCTAAATTACCTTACAACGTGCTTTCAGTAGTCTATGTTGAAGTTCTTAGCACAGGCTAACTTATCATATCATATACGGTATCACAGTTCTCAATGATCTACAAAAAATACCGGTATTAAAAATCTTTTCGATATTTCACACTTAATATAATACCCGGTTATCTACTTCAACCTCCTATTGTTTACAACGACGCATGACGCATCACGCATCACCAGCTGTATCAGCTAGACGGTACACATGTTTTTCGAATCGTTTTCAGTAAAAAAACTGTTACATCACACGTATATTTTACCTAAACTGCGCCTGAATGAATATATTCTCGGAAATAAATAGTAGTTTTGCTGAAACGTGATGTATTTTAATGTAAAATAGGATAAAATACATGACGAAAACAAAAGATTTTACCTAACCTTCCGATGTTCAAGAGAAGTTACTCATTTTTTTTAATAGTTTTTGGTTAAAATATTGTTATATTACAATGGTATTCTATTCATACTGTGCTTGATATAATGCATTCACGGAAATGTAATATTTTTGCTGAAATTACGTACGTATTACAGTGGAAAGTGGGATAAAATCGTGACGAAAGCAATGACTTTTGCTTTCTTTCGTTCAAAAGATGTTACCGTAATCGCTTTTCGAATGGTTTTCAGTTAAAAAACTGTTGTATTACGATAATATTCTATCCTAATTGACTTGAATAAATACTACGATACCATATTTCTGAATATTTTCATTAAAATCCATCAAAATCATTTTCCTTGTCATTGTCTGCAGCACCAAACAGCTTCTCCCAGTCCTCTCCTTGAACAGGGCTACAGGGTACGTGTTTTTCGAATCGTTTTCAGTTAAAAAACTATTACATCACACGTATATTTTACCTAAACTGCGCCTGAATGAATATATTCTCGGAAATAAATAGTAGTTTTGCTGAAACGTGATGTATTTCAATGTAAAATAGGATAAAATACATGACGAAAACAAAAGACTTTACCTAAGCTTCTGTTCTTGAGATGTTACTCGTTTTTTTAATAGTTTTCGGTTAAAATTCTGTTATATTACAATGATATTCTATTCATACTGTGCTTGATATAATACATTCACGGAAATGTAATATTTTTGCTGAAATTACGTACGTATTACAGTGGAAAGTGGGATAAAATCGTGACGAAAAGCAATGACTTTCGCTTTCTTTCGTTCAAAAGATGTTACCGTAATCGCCAATGGTTTACAGTATTACCCCGCTTAACGCGCTTTCACTTAACGCGTTTTCGCATATACGCGGTGCCTTGCCAAAGCTGAACTTTCACTTAACGCGGATTTTTCCACAGCAACGCGGTGAGTGTCCGGCTCGAGAGCTATTTTTAGATTCGCACCACCCCCCACCCGCCACCCTGCCTGACTGCCTGTTTTAGCTCATAAAATTCATACAAATTACCCAGCCAGAATATAGTTTACATTGCTGGAATTCTTATAATTTGGTGATCATTTTGAATATAAACAACATATTTTTTGCATTAAACATACAATTTTTAGATAAAATGTTTAATCTGAGTAAGTATGTTATCTTTTGTCCAAAATATATGACATTTATATTCAAAATATTCCTGGTCTTACAAGGAATCCAGCAATGTCAATTATATTATCCTAACTTTAATCTGAGGTATTATTACTAAATGTTAAAAACTCTTGAATGGAGGATTGGTGGGGGGTGGGGGGAGGGTTGGGACTGACCGCGCGGTTGGAAGAGGGGGGGAGGCAAGGTGGGGTACTTTGATTGACAGATAGTGTTGAAGAATATATTTTTTTTTTTATTAACTGTAGATATTTGTTTTAGCTCATAAAATTCATACAAATTATCCGGCCAGAATATAATTTACATTGCTGGAATTCTTATAATTTGGTGATCATTTTGAATATAAACAACATATTTTTTGCATTAAACATACAATTTTTAGATAAAATGTTTAATCTGAGTAAGTATGTTATCTTTTGTGAAAAATATATGACATTTATATTCAAAATATTCCTGGTCTTACAAGGAATCCAGCAATGTCAATTATATTTTCCTAACTTTAGTTTGAGGTTATCCCACACATCTCCTTGGGACGGTTGGTGGGGTGGGGGGGGGAGGGAGGGACCGACCGACCATCTGTTAGCTGGCTGTGTACTGTAGTGTGAGAGGGGGAGGGAGTTGAGTCCATTATTTGAATGGACATTAACTTGGCGACTGTATTTCTCTTAAGTATTAATTGTGTGCATGTACCATCATAAAATTAAGATGTTATTTTTACTACAACATAGTTATTTGTCGTCAAAAAGTGGAGTTTGGGGGTCGGGCTGGGTTCTATTGGAATTAATCCCATATGTTCTGTTATTCACTTAACGCGGTTTTCACTTAACGCGGGACCCTCTGGGTTCAATTGACCACGTTAAGTGGGGTACCACTGTAGTTAAAAAAACTGTTGTATTACAATAATATTCCCTCCTAATTGACTTGAATAAGTACTTGAATGGAAATATACAGTACAATATTTTTGTTGAAACTACCCGCGTTTCAGTGTAAAGTGTCGTAATAATAAATGGTAAACAATTTGCCTTCGGCACTCGTGTTTCATGCACGGCGAGCCCCAGTTTATAGGACGTAGAGCGTTTTTAGTAAAGGTTTTGTTGTTCCATTACCCTCAAAAACATGGGTCGAACTATAAACGAGGAATATCGTAAATTAACGATTTCTTGGTCAAAAAATCAGGGTCGACCTATAAACGAGGGGGGTTATAGACGAGTATATACGGTATGTCAGTTTGGTTATACAGTGGTCCCTCGGTTAACGAACACAATTCGTTCCACAGAGTCGTTCGTTAACCGAAAATTTCGTTAACCAAATCTATTATTTCAATGGGATATTGGGTAATTGGTTCCAACTCACAGAAAAAGTACATACTGTACAAAGTACTGTATACCAGTAATAGAATTAACAAAACATGAAATATAAACTAAATACAGTACTGTACTGTATAGTATACTGTACAATAATAAATAAAAAACAATAGAATACTGTATTTTAACTTACTTTGAGGTGTGTATATCATATTCCCAGCAGCTTTGTTTTCATATCAAACAGCTGATTGTAGAGGCAGTCGATGATGACATGCCATATTCTTTACAGAGTGCATTGGTTCTAACGCCTTCTTCATGTTTCATAATAATTTCTGCACTGTATATTATCAATATATTAACTAAATTTCAGAATGACCAATAATTTTAATGTAAAAATGCAAAAATATTCAAGAGACAAACAAAATCAATGTTCACTCCACTGTAAACAAAGTTAAACTGAGAAGCGTTGTTGGGTGATTCAATCAGCTGATGGGCACACAAAAACTGTTCCCTGTACCGTCTATATTATCAATATGTTAACTAAATTTCAGAATGACCAATAATTTTAATATAAAAAATGCAGAAATATTCAAGAGACCAACTTTCTTGATATTTACTTCACTGGAAACAAATGTAAACATAGAACCAATTTCTGTATTGGCGGGCTAGCCGATCAGCTGATGCGCACAACAAAACGTGCTTGTCGTAAGGATTTTGTTAATCAAAGTTTCGTTCGTTAATCGAACTGAAAATCTTTATGGGAGCTAATTCGTTAACCAAAATTTTGGTAATTGATCCGTTCGTTAACTGAGGGGACCACTGTATTATTAGTTTCCATAAATATATTTTCGCTAACTTACTTCATTATTCTCTATGGTATTAAATCTACAAATTAGTTTTCAGTGTTATTATTCTCCTTCAGACTCACACCACCACAAATAGTCAATGAATCAGTTGACTGGTTGTCCTATCTCCTCATTTACTCTTCTGTAATAATATGTGGAAAATTATATGCTGTAAAAGAAAATTACTCCATCCTCTTAAATTTCATATTTTGAAAGCTCAATTCTTTCGTGAAATAGAGTACCGTATTTTATGAAGTACATTTTCTGTTGACAGGCACTGTACTTTACTGTAGTAAGACATGAGGAGGTGAGTGAGCATACAATTGATACTGGTACAGTGCTGTAATAGCTTGGGTGTGGCTTCATCTACCACTTGAACCATTGTCAAGAAAGAAGACAAACAATATAAGGGCTTCTGCCCACTCCAACACTTCATTAACAGCACCCAAGATATGGTAACTTGATCAAAGAACATTTTATTGGAGAAGATGGAAAGCCAGTTGGGCTCCATGTAAGAGGAGTAAGTTCAAGTTTGGAGAGATGGCAGATGGTCAACCTTAAACAAACTGTCTGAAAGTATTAGTGAGATTGTAATTTACTACAATACATTATATCTTTCTATGTATTTTTTCATTAAAATTTATTCTTTTAATTTATAAAATATTTTCATAAATCTCCTGTGTTGGTGGAAACCCTCTAATCCGACCCCCAAACTACACTTTTTACGACACAATACATAATTTGTAGTAAAAATAACATCTTAATTTTATGATGGTATGCAAACACAATTCTTAATTTTATGATGGTATGCAAACACAATTAATATTTAAGAGAAATATCACTAATATTAGGTTTTTTAACACTTAAGTTAGTAGAAGAGATGGCTGGGCACATGGGGATGGGGGGGTTGGTTACGAGGCAGAGGGCAGATTATTGGCCCTCACCTGTATCACTTGTATCACCTGTATCACTATCCACCACAGAGGCTAGCAGGGTCTATTTGCCAAACCCCTCAAAGTCCATATCCTCACTATCACCATCACTGACTTGGGCTGGCTGTGGTGGGTGAAGAACTCGGTAATGTTTTGTTGACTGGGTGACCTAGCACGCACCCTGCCCGTGCCGCTTCCCGCGTAAATGATGGAATGTACCGCGCAACTAATAATTGTCGCGTCTGGCCAGGTGCCACGTAAATGACCAACCGCGTAAAGGAAATCCGCATAAATCATGACTATACTGTACTGTACTGTACAGTAAAGGTTAATAAAAAGTAAAACAGGTTTAGTCATCACCATTAACATTTTATGGCCATTGTCCATGCTTGCATGGGTTATCAGCAATTACTTGATGGCAGCTCTCTATGCTGTGCGGTCACTAAGTCTATCTTGTCAGGTTCTTAACCCCAATGTCATTTCTGACAACATTATGTGAGGAGGAATGTACAGGCAGCTACACTGCAGGCCCAGCAGGTGAAAGTGATTTCACCCTTAATGTCTTAGCCTCCCATGCCCAGAGGATTCCCATGCATGGGCCATTTAAATCACTGAATATTAAATTTTCTTTGGTATAGCATTTGCAAATTTTCAAGACCACAAGGGACTTATTCTGCATGAAAACAAAGTTTACTTTTGGGGGACAAAGAGACATTAATTTACAGATAGGATAGCCAACCAATAATGGATTAGGTATTGAACAATACATATGATTAAGCCTTTTTTTTTTTAATAGGGATTAGCCCACCTGGACACAAGTCATCAACCCACATCGGAGACGGGGGAATACAAAAATTAACTAAAAATAAATACAGATACAGTATGGATAAAATAAAAAAATTCAAGAGTGAGAAACGATATATATGTTGTGTTGTCAAAAAGAAACAATTGAGACCCTGCAATTGCATGTAAATGAGGCAAAAAGACATATGGCAGCAGGGTCTACCATTAGACAACACATTATGCTTCCAATATCTTCCCAGGTGGTAGAACCTCCCTGTTTGATACCTGCCTACTAGTACTTACTTGACAACCAAGTACTACAGTACTGTAAAAGAATACTGTACCTTCTATTTTGCTTTTTAACATAGCTATGGATCTTGACAGCACTTATCACAACAACAACAGTAATAGCCAGAGGCTTGCTCTTGTTCCAAAACCATTTGAAGCCTTTCCCTGCAATTTTCATTGGTATCCATCCTGTTACTGCAAAGACAGCCATTCTGAAAATTATACATACAGTAACTGTAGTATGTCATTTAATCTCATTTTATTACCTGTAGTACAATACCCTGAGAACATTGAACTCAACTACATACTGGTAATCAAGAAAGGTGATGTACCAGACAAACGTTTTATGTTACAGAGATGTTAAAATTCAGGTAAAAAAAGCTGCAAATTGCTAGTTATCAAGCTCATTCTGATCTGCAAAATCATTTTCATTTACTGAATGTAACATCAATTTCCATGAATGGACAATTAGATAGAAGAAACTCTGTCAGCAGCATATACTGTAGTACATATAGATACAGTACATAAGAATTAGTTTAGTCACCCTTTCACCTCTCTCAGGATAAGGGAAGTAAATCATTTCCACCATTTCAATAAATACAAACACTTTTCAGTGTAAGAGAAGTGTAACTTGGAGGGTTTTGTATTAACCTTAGGTTCATATCCATGCTTGAGCAGAGGTTAGTTGTACTTACCACACTGTATTATCATTTACAGCATTAATTACCAGTCTACCTTAAATTTATTCAATTATGAAGCTCCATACATACAGTAATTTTCATGAGCATATATTCTACAATAGAAGAAAATTTTAAAACATACTCCATTCACCATCTTCTAATAAAGCTACAATATGTCACAATTCTATGTATTGTACCCAGTAGCTCAATTACTACTACAGGGTACACTACTACAGGCAAAATTTAAGTACAAGCAAAATAATGAAATAGATTAACAACTGAAATGAGGTTAATTTTAAGGTGGCGGCACACTGGGCACTTTCCTCCATACATGTTGCCCGTTTTGTTGGCCGCTGGCCGCAGGATTTTGGCTGTTGCGACTCAGCCTTTGACGTAGTGTACTTGTACTGAAGCTTTGGGATGACATGTTGCTTCAGTAACTTTAGCTTCTGTAGGGGTTTGAGAGGACTCTTTCCGATTCTTTCCACGATGGTCGCCAGCACAGCTTTCTCCGAATTGACCTAGCAACTTGCGTGAAATGAACAAGGGTTTCGCAGTGAGCTTTGCTGGCCGGCTTAGTGCTCAAATGAGCTTCATATTAAGTGTTGAATATTCAAATAAAAATTGAAATCACGAAACAATAATAATTTAAATTACAAAACATTAAATGGTGACATGTTTCTTTTCATCCATCACTTTAAAACTTCTTTAGTATTATTAACCCTTTCACTGCGTGGCTCCACTTTATTCACATTTTTATATACTGTATAGTTAGTGTTTATTCTATCGATTCAATATTAGCACTTGGAGTGTGATAATCATTAAATTAGAAGGGAAATGAACGAGGTAATTTGGGAAGTGAAATTATTTCTTGCATATGCCATGATGGAAAATGATGACATTATTTATTCATGTTTCTGTTTTTTTTAGGGATATTTTAAAAGTTTAAGAGTGTGCTATATGAAATATGTATTAGGAAGCAGTAGTGCATAATGAATAGAGGAGAAAGGAAACATAATATAAGAGGAAATAGAGCGACACAGATAACCAGAGAACCAAACATGGCATACTGAGACAGGTTTTCCGATACTTCGTGTTTATCTTTGCCTTTCAGAAATGTCTGGAATACTTGAGTGAGCAAGGCGTGTAAAATGTGAAAGGAAAATCACGTTTTTATGGATATATATGGATTTATTCTTTACCTATAGATATTCCCAAAGGTGGTCTACTTCCTTGTCTTACAATCAACGTCATCTTTGTAATCTTAATTTATATTGTGTTCTAGTCCAATAAATAACAAGTGCAATAGAATAAATAGTTTATTCCGATCTTTTATTTCATATTCCCACCAACATTCTCGTCTGTTCACAAGTGATTTTCACATTTGCCCATAAGGTATAGGGTTTCAATATATATATATATATATATATATATATAATATATATATATATATATATATATATATATATATATATATATATATATATATATATATATATATATATATATATATATATATATATATATATATACAGTATATGCAAGTAAATCACTGTAGGTGCGCGTGATCTAGGTATATGCTGATAACCACAAGGAAAGAAGAAAACACGAAGTTCCCAAGCGCTTTCGTGTAATTCACATCTTCAGGGGTGAGTACAGACTAAAGAGAAATACAAACCAAGGTGTATATATACAGAGGAGGGTGAGTCCAGGTCCACAATGGTCAGGTATTAGGTAATGACCCTACTAATCTTTAAATAGCACAAAACGGTTGGTGGTCAGGTCAGATGGTCAGGTGACCCGACCTTCTCACCTGGTTACAAATCTTCTTAATTACAAAATTTTACAGCTTGTACATGCCGTTACTCAAATTCATGTTGAATGATTCGGTATGTTTAATAAGACTAGATTCTATGATGTTCCTACTATCAATTGAATTACATGGTAATATTGAGGAGGCATTATCCCAGTCAATGCAATGCTTGTTATCCCTCAAATGAACAAACAGAGCATTGGATTCCTGGCCTGTCCTAACACTGTATTTGTGTTGTTTAATTCTAGTTGCAAGATCTTTACCTGTCTGAATTGATTTTAAGTAGTTTTCAATCTTCGTCTGTGAGATGTTATCGGCACATCATGCATGGGTAATTTCATTGACCAGTCTCACAATGGCCGATTGGCCATGGTGGAGGTTGGCTATCATTTGTGCTCCTACGATTATTTTAAGTTTATTGCCAAGTTTTACGAGAAAGACGATTATGCTATCCAATTCTTACGTGTATCCCTGGTCTTTCCACTTCTAACTAAGGTATTGTACTTTCGGACGTGGCGCACCCCAGAGTTTTTAACTACTGAAAATTTAGGTTAGTTTAAGCTAGGCCTACCGAGGGTCCGGGGACGGAGCTCCCGGCTAAGAGTTAGGCTAGGTTTTGTTAGGTCAGATGACTCGTTTTTGTTTTCTCCCCCAGCCAAAAACCCAGATTTCCCAGGCTCTCCCCCATTATTCGGGGGAACTAATAATTTCCGCCAAAATGAAGATCAGATTTGTTTAAAACACAACAAAATACACTGGAAAAAGTATTGATCAACCCCTAGGGACTCATGTCCTAAAGTAAAAATTTACCCGTGTTTTTTTTAGACCCCCACCTAACAATCATAACGGAAAAAGTTCATTTTTTTTAGAATAAATAACAAATTATATTACCAACCAACCAAGAAAACCTAACCTAACCAGCCCCCCGTACGAGGCCTAAAGCAATGCGTGAGCAAGGGGTCAGACCACCACGGCCGTAAGTAAACAAATCATGGCGACACTTGTGACTGAGCGAAAGTAATAATCTTGAAAAATAAATATCTCGATTATCCTTAACATCCGGTGGAAATATCATAGAAGAGAAATGTCTTTGAATTGTGGAGACATTGCGAGTTACACATTTTTAATTCAGAAATAAAGACCGGTGTGATACTATAAATTCACCGCCAACTTTTTGGGAGTGAGAATTGTAAACTCTTGGACCAATCTGCCAGTGTTGTGAAGGCACCGAGTGTGAACTAATTCAAGACCTACTGAACAACACTGGGTTAGGGTACAGATAGTCTGATTCAAACAACCGTCACATACTTACCAGTAAATGTCACACTATTCTATAATTATTTGCAATTACATCAAGATTCTTTCAATATTCAATATATAATCGAATACAATTAACATTCACTTGACTTACTAAAATGGGTTAGTTTTAAGTACCTGTACTTACTTACCTGTTTCTCAATTTAATGAAATATTCCTAACTCGTTGCCATATACAAGTATTACACAGAGTCAATAGGATTTTTAGTCCTGAAAAGATTAATGATTATCATGCACAAGTTTCTGACAAATACTTACATGATCAGTTAATAATTACTCTGTAAAACACAGTAATAATGTGACAGGTTACAGGTACATACAACACACCTCCTACAAGCTATACAATGTTAGAGAATACCTCGAACAGTACCACTCACTTATCAGTTATTAATATTAATTATTCCAAAATATACTATCCATAAAAAATTATATTAATACTCCTAAGCTAATTTTAATTCGGTTACGATGAGTTTGCTTTCCTCATATGTTCTGAATTTTAGATGATAAACCGGGTTATATTATTCGTGGTGATTTTATAACATTAATTATTTTACCATTATCTGGCAACTTTCTGAAGGTGATTATTAAGTGCAATGATTGTTCATAACTTATAAGTTATAACAATGTGTCACAAGTTGAGAAACACACAATAAATGAAATCTCCCTGCTACAGGTATTAAAATTTTTAAGCCAAAGGTTTGCAACATGCTTAGAAAAAATATATAGTTTTAATACAACGTAGCCACAGCAAATGTTAAGTCCTTCAGAAACAGCAACTCATGATGACAGTAGAACAGTATAATTTCATTGTCATGCTACTGTTACGCTGGGTGTATACTCGTTAGCAATCGCTTTTCATGGGCGTTGTCACTTTGTAAAGCCCCTGAAGATCCTATTCTGTAAATGCCTGGATGAGCTAAAGGTCCCCAGTGATTGGAAAATGGCTTGTGTGAGTCCAATCTTCTAGAGGGACGAGCGACACTCCACGATTAATTACTTTTTTATTTTATTTTCTTCACCACTGATCGGCTTGTTAGCCGCTTGGGCGACCGGTCACGTCTCTGTTATGCACTGTTGGCAAATACTGGGCATGCACCAGCTCCTGAATGTACCTGAACCTGCTCCAGTGTTGGTCAAGTCTGGTCTTGAAAGAGCTCACACTCGGTGCCCGGGCGGCTAGCGAGCCGATCTTTTGGTGAAGAGGATAAAAGAAAAGGAAAAGTAATCAGAGACGTAACCGATCGCCCAAGCAGCTAACGAGCCGATCAGTGACAAGGGGGGACCTAGTTGAGGTGTATAAGCATCTCAAGGGGCACTACTCAGTTGAGTGTCCTTACTTGGAGCTGGCAGACGCTCGCCCCACAAGGAGTCACAGCTCAAGATTGAAGAAGCCGCAAGTCCAGAAAACCGTGAGGGCAAACTTTTTCGGAGTGAGAGTTGTAAACTCTTGGAACAATCTACCAGAGAGTGTTGTGACGGCACCGAGTGTGAGCTCTTTCAAGACCAGACTTGACCAACACTGGAGCGGGTTCAGGTACATTCAGGAGCCGGTGCATGCCCAGTATTTGCCAACAGTGCGTGACAGAGACGTGACCGATCGCCCGGGCGGCTAGCGAGCCGATCAGTGGTGAAGAGGATAAAAGGATAAAAAGAAAAAAAAAGTAAAGGCAGGGAAAGGTTCTGTAATATAGGTATTCTGTTTCAGACCTGAAAGGAAACATGCCGCCTCCAGCAACAAAGAAACGAAAAATTGTATTAGAAAATCGCAAATTTAACCCTCTTTGGGAAGAGGAAGTATTTGTTAATGCAAAACAATCAGAACTGTATTTGTTTACCTTTGTGAAAACAAGTACCGTTCAAAGCTCACCAACATTCACACCACAGAACTTGTGAAGGCGGCGGTTACCAAATTTAAAATAAGTTTTGCTGAAATTGCAAATCATATCCAGACTCAACCCTCACATTCGTTTTTGTATTGTTCTGTGTATCTGTATTTGTCATGCGAGTCCTTATTTTGCATTGCAAAAAGCCAGCTTTATGTTGGGAAGTGGCAGCGTGGTTACAGGCGTGATGTAGAGAGAGCTGGTTGGTGAGGGTGCTCAGAGGAGGACCAGCTTGTGGGTCGCCATCAGTGGCGTAGCTAGAGTGTGTGCCGCCCCCCCACCCCCTGCCCCCACAAAAAATACATATTGCACAGTGACTCACTCGTCTTGTCACGATGGAGACTTGTGCAGAACTGAAGTGAATTGCTTGTAACTGGTGGATTGGTCGGCTGTACATGAACTGATATGACCCGAGACTGCATGGTTTTGCAGCTACTGGAGACGTTAATCCTTCCCTTTGTATCGGCGGCAAGTTAATCCTCGTCGTGTCTGACCTAACACCTGACCCACACCACATGAGCTCACTGGCGTACTTGTTTGAAGTTGTTTCCTTAATCCTCAACAGGTTACAGGTTGTGTGTGTGGCGGGGGGCCTCATAGCAAGGGTGTAGCTCATGACGTGGCCGTGATGATGTGGGTCAGGTGTTAGGTCAGACACGACAAGGATTAACTTGCCGCCGATACAAAGGGATGGATTAACGTCTCCAGTAGCTGCAGATATGGGTGATGAGCAGACCCAAAAGTGCCGCCCCCCAAAAGTGCACACACTCTAGCTACGCCACTGACTGCAGGAGACTTTGCCAGAGGTGAGACTCAAACTGGACTCCTCGGTCAGTGATGACAGTCGTGGGAGGACCGAAACGGGAGACCCAACCAGACAGGAAGACGCGGACGGCTGACTCTGCTGTAGCATTAGACATGGGAATGGCTTCTGTCCACCTGGTGAAACGATCAATGCAGGTGTTGCCGCAGGATTTTTTTTTTTTTTTACGGGAATTAGTCCACCCAGACACAGGTCACTGACCCACATTGGGGCCTGGGGGGCTAATCCCTGTTATGAAAAAAACAAAATAAATAAAAAAAAAAAAAAATGAATTACCCCTCCCAAGAGTTTACCGTTTTCTGTGACATTCCACTAGGATGGTGAATTTAAATGTTATGCAGCTGTAATATGAATCAAAAGAGATTATAGAGACCAGTACTAATGTACGCAGTACACCAGGCGAGATTTACTGGAGATCTCTCCTACTGCACCCATCTTTGGCCAAAATCTCTTAGGGATTATGGAGAAACTTTCGCCATGGCCCTCGACATCTCCAAAGCATTTGACAGGGTACTGGGTATGGCAAAAGTCTTTACTTTTACTTTGCTCTCTAATCTTCCCTCTTATGGTTTCACTACCCCACTTTGTTCTCTAATTTCTAGCTTTCTTGAGAACCGATTCATGGCAGTTGTTGTCGAGGGATCAATCTCTCCCTCTTTCTCTTTCAATGATTTACTTCACACTACAACTAATTCTATCCATTCTCACATTGATGATTCTACTTTTCACTCTTCACATTTTCCCTTCCCCCTAACTCTCAAACTTGATTTATTTCTACAGCTGATATCATTTCATCTATCAATGCGGAACTGTGCTGCATCTCCGAATGAGGAGGTAGAAACTTGGTTAAATTCAACAGTAATAAAACACAATATTTAATAATTACACATTCCAAAATAGAAGATCTCCCACCAATCACACTTCAGGACACAATCATTCTGCCAAATTCTAAAACAGATATGCTAGGCCTCACCATTTCCTCTAATATGTCATGGAAGCCACACATCCACATTGCTAGAGCTGCCTCCCAAAAGCTGGGAATGCTATACAGATGCTGTAGCTACTTCACTTCTGTGCATTTGCTTGAAGTTTATAAGGGATGCATTCGTACTAATTTAGATTACTGCTCTATATCAGGGGTGGCTCTTATTCTGCCCATCTGTTAGATAGGGTGGAATCAAAAGCATTTCTTCTTATTAACTCTCCTCCTTTAGTTGATAATCTTCCTCACAAAGCCGAACTGTGGAATGATCTGCCGTCTTGTGTTTCCATACTCTTACAATCTGTCTCACTTCAAAAAGCTGGTTTTCTGGCATCTTCATGGTGTAGATTAATATAGCCTTTTTCCCTTCTTTTTTTAATTTCTGTTTACTCTTATTTTTCGCCCCAAGGCCCCGTTGTGGGTCGATGACCTGTGCCCAGGTGGACTATTCCCATAAAAAAATCTGGACACGTCTCCGCTGTAGTATCACCTTTATGAGAATCCTGATTATGAAGCACACCATCACAAGAATCATTCACTGTACAGGTATGCTGAAAATCTCTACAGGGTGCCAGGTCCCTCAGTGAAACAGTATTTTATTTTCCATCACGGAAATGAATGTGAGCATAAGACGGTAGCGGCACACTGGGCACTTTCTTCCAAACATATCTGGTAAATATGGTCCAGTCAGCAAAAACAAAGAGACATTTTGCATCACACTGGGATGTTTTATTGGCGAGTCTGCTCAACGCAACGAAAACAACAACAAAGCGTCTAGATGAGGATCGCCATGGTTCCCATTACCTGTACTACAGTTGAGGCCTTTCAGGATTGTGCTATAATTCTTCAATTGCTGAAGCAAGTTAGGCATTTGCAAAAGCTAAAGAAAAGACAAATGGGTGCGTCATGAAGTGTGTTTTAAAGTGCCAGCAGCTGGCTGGTAAAATAAGACCCTGAATAATGATTTAATAATACCCTGTACTAAAAAAGTTTTAAAGTGACAAATAAATGTAAATATGTCTCAGTTTATGTGTTATATTTTAGATTATCATTATTTCAGGATTTTTTTAAATTTTTACTTGAAATTATATGAAGCTCATTTGAGCACTAATCCGGACATCAAAGAACCCCTCCAAACCGTTGTCCATTTCTCGCAATAGCCGAAATCCTGCTGCTTGCCGGACGTTTTGGCCAAAGGCTGAAAATCAAACTGGAAGGGTACGGAATTCAGCAAAATGTCCTAGCGTGGATAGAAGACTTTCTACATGACCGCAAGAAGTTTGTGGTGATTAATGGCACGAAATCATCATCAGTACCTGTCACAAGCTGGGTACCACAGGGCAGTTTATTCGGCCCGTTGTAGTTTGTTTGTTTCATAAATGACATGCCTGACGTTGTATACTCCTTCATACAAATGTTTGCCGATGACGCCAAGTTATTTCAGGAAATCAAGAACCAAGCGGACTATGAAGAGCTGCAAAAGGACCTCTGTGGGCTTCAAGAATGGTCGAAGAAATGGCTGCTGAGATTCAATGTCACGAAGTGTAAGAGGATGCACCTGGGGCGTACCAAAGGTAAGGAGGCGTATCATATGTCCCAACGGGATGAAGAAACTGCACTATTTGAGACTGAATGTGAGAAGGACCTAGGCGTGTTTGTTGACAATGAGCTGAAGTTCTCGGGCCATTGCGAGAAGAAGGTAAATCATGCAAATAAATTACAGTATTGGGTCTTATAAGAAAGTCGTTCAAATATCTAGATGGTCAGTCCCTCGTAATGATCTTCAAGAGTGAAGTGCTTCCCCATCTGGAGTACTGTTACCCAGTCTGGTACCCGAGATATGCTAGGGACTGTCAGTTGGTTGAAAATGTTCAAAGGAGGGCCACCAGACTGATGCCTGCCCTTCGGCACCTCAGCTACCCTGAGAGATTGGAGCGTCTGAACTTGCCTAGCTTATACTACAGACAGGCAAGGGGTGACCTAATGGAGGTGTATAAGCATCTCAAGGGGCATCACTCAGTCGAGTGTCCTTATTTGGAGCTGGCGGACGCTCACCCCACAAGGGGTCACAGCTCAAGATTGAAGAAGCCGCAAATCCAGAAAACCGTGAGGGCAAACTTTTTCGGAGTGAGAGTTGTGAGCTCTTGGAACAATCTACCAGAAAGTGTTGTGACGGCACCGAGTGTGAGCTCTTTCAGACAAGACTTGATCAACACTGGAGCGGGTTCAGGTACATTCAGGAGCTGGTGCATGCCCAGTACTTGCCAACAGTGCGTAACAGAGACGTGACCGATCGCCCAAGCGGCTAACGAGCCGATCAATGGTGAAGAGGATAAAAATATATTTGTGGGAAAGTGCCCAGTTTGCCGCCACCTTAAGAAGAATTAGCATCCAGGAGATCTACTTCTTCAACTAAAGGATCATATTTAGTTTGACAAACATGGCAACATAGCAAGACAGGACCTGACAACCATCAAAGAATTGATGAACCAGTCTTGGATCGGCTTTGAAAATGTAAAAGGCGCTCACGAGGCCTAGTGTTGGTAGTGGTCGAAATCCCCGAGCGTATTGAATGAAGCATATCCTGCAGAACTGTTTCCCACCTAGACATAGGAAGATCCCTCTATTTAATTGCCAACGAAATGGTCTTCCATATCACTTAATTCAAACGCTCGCACTGGCCATTTCTTTGAAGATTATATGGTGTTGTTTGACTAGTTGAAATGCCATGTTCATTCAAAAACTGCTTCAGCTCAGAAGACATAAATGCAGACCCACGATCTGTGTGGATAAAAGCTGGCATGCCCAAAATAGCAAACAATTGAGTCAAACATCTGATCACAGTTATAGCAGATGTATGAGGACATGAGAATACAAGAAGAGAACCTAGAGAATTCATCCACCACAGTAAGCAGATGGCAATTAGCTGTAATACTTGGCAAAGGACCCTTAAAATCAATACTTAAGTCTTTCAAAAGGTTGAGTTGACTTTATTAACTAAGACAACTGTGGATGATAAAACCTGGGCTTGCATTCAGCACATACTCGACAAGAAGATACTCTCTTGACCTCATCAATAGAATAAGGGAAATAGTGGGTTCTCACTAAATTAACCATTCTTGTCACTCCGGGATGGCAGAGAGAATTGTGCAATTCAGCCAGCTTGTCAGAGCCCATGGATGCACAAAAGGCCATAGAAAAGGTATCAAATCTACATTCTCTTTTCCAGGTCTATAGACAATATCAAAATCATAACATGCTAGTTCGATCCTCCAGGGATGAATTTTTTCATTTTTTATTTTATCCTCAGACCTACAATCAAACATAAAAGAAACTAATTTCTGATCTGTCACCAATGTAAAGTGGCATATGTCTCCTTTTCACTGATGAGTGCTTCTGCTCACTGGCATTCAAGGTCCTGGAATAAAATGCAACCAGTCACCCAGCCTGATTTAAGACTGCAGCAATAACAGTGAAGCATCCGTTTCAACCACAAAAAGTAGATTCATTAATACAATAAACCACAGCACCTTCTATCTCCTTCAGACTCAAAAGCATCTTTAACTTCACATGGCAAGGAGAAAGAGTTGACTTGAGTGAGTGGCCTCACTTGACATGAATAGTTAACAATCCACTGTGAATAATATGAAAACATACAGAGCTCGTCATAATGACTTCATGTTATGTGGAACAGAAAGATCCCCGAGAGGCTTAAGATGTTCAGGATCAGGATCGTGTGGACAAGGGCTTTACAAATGTTATCAGCTGCTGGAGTTATATTCTTGCACTCTTACAAATGGTGAAACAGCTTATGGGATTTATTTTCAAGAGAAGCCAATTTGAAGGAATGAAGTGCGATACCGTGTCGAGTTTGCGAGGGCGAGCGAGAATCCTAGTTCCTGCCCTGCGAGACATCCTAGAGAACCATTTGCCACTGAAGTCAGATTGTTTTGATTCCCAGTCATCAGAGAATCTGAGGACTGTATTGAAATTGTCAGTTTTGCATTTTAGAAAGTCATCAATCATTAGAAAGAAACAAGTAGACTCCTTATCGGGATCCTACACAGGACACTGGCTGCGTATCCTCAACATGGTCACTTCTGTTGGGTGGCCATTAGATAACAAAGGTAAGGTAACGAACTTATTTTTTTATTATTGATGTAACTTTTTCAAATTGATGCTGTAGATACCAAAATACTGTACCTTAGGGTTGGCAACCAGTTCTCCACTCAAACATTCTTGGACTGTTTTGACCAATCCTCCAAGGTTTTTCATATCTCTGGGGACCCAGTTTTTAATTTTATTCATCCATACTATTGTCTGCTTTCCCTGGCCCTCCTACCCTCAACTTTGCCAATTAATATTTGTTATCCCCTCATCCTTAATTATAGGACTCCAGTATCTCTTTTATTTACATACCCTGTAAGTATTTTTGTTAGTTTTTGCTCTAGATAAGGAACCCACTTTATTTTTATGTATGCTACAGGTAATATGATTGGTGTCAAAAGCAAACTTTTGTTTGGAAATGATCAGTCATATCATTTTTCTTGCTCTTCCGAGAAAAGGACTTCAATGTACCGTACTGCATCATACAAATCTGTTAATCTTTCAATCAATTACATTATTCAACATCATACCAACTACAGTACAGCATATGTAATAAAAAATATATATCAGTAAGCTTTATTAATCATCTATAATTACCTTCACCATTACATTGATTGTAAAATGGACATTTCGAGAGTTCAAAGATCTGTTTTATTATGAAATGAAAAGTAAAGGTCAAATTACAACACAAGACAAATTTTTAAGGACCAAATCTATTGCACTAGAGCACCACACAGAAAGGAGGGTTTCAATAGGAATAGTTCTGGTAAGGAAACATTATTTCCTAACACTGGTCAACATAAAAATGGATTTGGTAGTCAGATGTACGGTTTGCAGAACATTTTCAGTTAAGTACAATTTGAAATTGTAGATTATACCATACCTAGTGATTTAAATTATAATTAACCTTCAGTTAGTATGAAAGACTCCCGTAATAGAAAATTAAAACCATTGTACTTCCTTTAATTTTCAAGTTATAATTTACTGCGATCAGACAGTTTAGTCTGACAGGCGCATTAGATAACGAGATGGGCTCAGCTCTTGAAAAAATTTGGGAGAGCTGAAATGTGCATAATTTGTTGGCATTTTCAAATTAAATACAAAATTAAAAGAATACCTCATTTTAAATATAGTCAACAATAATATGAATCTTAAGAGAACAATTCCACAAAGTACATGTAGGCTGGTAACCAGGTAGTATCGCCAACACAGAAAAATGACCAAAATGGTACAGATAAATGTTTAAGATTCTGTCTATAAATATTTCCTTGTAAATGTGTATTGGTCAGCAACAGACTCCTCAGGTACAGACACTACGTAACATTTCAACTTTTACACTTATTTTCTCTTTATAAATCATCCATTACTCCATTACAGTAGTGACTTCAGTTTTTGCAATTTCATTGGACTTTTCAGTACAGTACTAACTGAAAAAAGTTTTTTTTTTTCATTGAGAACAATTAAATTACAGTACAGTATTTGTAAGGAGATTTTATTAAGAGTCAATGGAATATGTCATGGCTCCCTGACAAATTTTCAAAGCACTATGAAGGCAATATGAGCTTTATATATTTATGAATTTACCTAATATGAAAACCCTAGAAACCTTGAGCACAATTTTAGGCACTGGTTCCTCTACAAGCATTGAAAAAAAAAATCCTTGGGGATTCAATCACAAAAAAAAAAACTACCATGACTTTAATCCTAAATCATTTCTTCCATAATTGTATCTAAAAAAAATAATCCATTTAGATGTTATTCCCTTCTCCCTTGCAAATTATGATGTCTATAACAATAATAATTATACCAAGCTAAGCCTGTGAGTGACCTTGTGACTGGGCACACAGTAACACTACTGCTAAAAGTATCTTTGTCATTGTACCATATAACTGAATCACCAGCTCATGTATCCTGGTAATGGATCTCGACAAAAAACAAGCATCTTGCATCAACATCGTGTCTGAACTTTATATGTTAAAAAGGTGAAGAGCCCACTTTGTGTAAATAAGTGTATAATATGTAGTAATATATAGACATTTAAGGCAAAGAATGTTACATTTTATGGATGGCTTTCACTCAGACTACAACAAGCTTATCAAATAAAATATAGCACCAATTCCCAAACAGTTTCATGCTTTATATTTTCTTTAATCCACAGCTCACCATAGTTTATATTACTAAGAGTTTGCATTATCAGATCAAGGAAATTCAACAATGTTTACCAACCTGTCACTTGAGAGCTAAAACAAGGCTATAACAAAATACAGTACTTAACCCTTAAGCCCCAGGTTAGGGTGCTGCTGGCAATCCGAGATAAATCGAGACAAATGTAAGCTTAAAAAAAAAATTTGGCGGGAAAATAGGCGGACGTTCTGGAACGTCACCCGGGGCCTAAGGGTTAAAAGAACTACATTGTATTTCAAGAGTTCACAGAAATAATTTTAAATGACCATGTGTTCACCCTAAAATGAACACCTAACATTGTCAAAATGTTCAATCCCCTGGTCTCCATGATGTAGATAATTTTGAAAGGTTTCTTGCCAAAGGGGTACCACTGCATACACAAAATATAATGGTCATACTCCAAAATATAGGGTATCAATTATTGTGCTCACTATTTTTTTCATGTGAACCTTTGAAACTTCCCACCTCTGTCCATGGATCTAACACAAAGTTTCAGGCCTTTCCTAAATATGCAAATTACAGTACTGTATATATGCTCACATTGATGCCCATTTTGAGTTTTCTGGAAAAAAACAAACAAGACTAGCAAATGAATTTTTGATTAGCTACTACTTCACTGACATGTGGGCATTCATCAATATTAGAGATACACCACATACAGTAGCTATTTGTAGCAAAACTCGTCAAAAACAGGAAAATCATGACAAGGAATTCACCAAATTCAAATTATTTTTTAAAGCCTGTTAGATAAATAATTAAGTGAAATATAAAAATATCAGAAACAATGTCCTGAGAAAGACCAAGTTGGCACATTTGTATAATATATTGAGATTGCTTACTCTAGGATTGAACACAAAATTAATTTACACACCAAGTTCTATACACAACCTCAACGTGGGGCATAAGGTATGAACAAGAAAATCTTTTTGTGCCACATTTGGTAGAGTATTGCTTCATACTAGAAGCAGAAAAAATCTTGACTACTAAAAATATGCATGGCAAACAAGAATGTCTGCAATACCTGGGTAAACTTAAAATGCATTACACTGTATCTAAACATAACTATTTGTGCACAATACTTTGTGCTGTAGACTACAGTATGACAAAAACAATCCTGGATTGAAAAACACTACTTAAGGCCACACCATATAAACTTTAAATACAAAGAACAAAAATTTATATTTAAAAGTACATTTACAATTGTTTTTCAGTTATTAAAAACTAACATACTTGGTACTAATTAAGTTCCCTAAACACTATTATTAGAAATTTTTAGGTTACCCGGTACACTAATATAGTATCTATATAATGAATTTCTTTATGCAGTAAACAGTTTTAAAGGGTGGTAAAAAAGTTAGGTTTACTGTAAGCACAACAGAATTACTGTGATACCTGCTCCCTTTCTTTGTGGTTTCCCCCTTAAGAGTGTCCATTCTTAGTAGGTAATGAAGTGTGCTGGCCGGATGTGTTCCATCATTCCAGGAATTGTAGGAGTATATTTCTTTCTGCACTAAAATGGTTTTGCTTAATCCCCAAAATATATATATTAAGCACTTTTATCTCAAATATACTTCACAATCATTTTTATGTATATCAAGCAATTTAAGTAACTAGCATGAAATTTTTTCATTCTGGGTTCTTTATTGAATCTGTAATTATTTTACCAATCATGATAAAGCAAACATAATTGTAACACGAAATAACAATTCACATTAAGAGCTGATAACCTGAACAAGGCCCTCAACTTTGTATATTAATTTCATAAAAAAAATTCTGACTAAAATTTGTGTCTTGCTGCAATAAGAACCCTTAAGTTTTCTTCCTTTTCTTCTTACTCTTGGCCAGATCTGCCAACTTGGTTATTCTTCGTAGACTACCTCTCCAACTTCCTACTCGACTCAGCACACTTCGCCTTCCTCACTCATCATCTTCATCCATGGCTGGGGCAATGTCATACCACTGTGTCACCTTGTTGGAATCTAGAAGCCCACAGTCTAGGTGTACCTGGACATAAACCAAAGTCAATGTTACAAAAACAAAATATTAGACTACAGGTGCATACTGTGGCCTATAAATCAACCATTGAAGCTCCAATTTTTGTGTTCAAACTAGGGATCGTCTAATACAAGAGGTATAAAATGTCAGCCTCTAAGTACGCTCCACCACTTAACATCAGATTTTCACTTTACCTTACTGGTAGGTCTCCGTCACTTAATTTCCAGCACTCGCAAAATTTTTTTACCTTACTGTAGCATTTTTCCAGAAGGGTAACTGCTGTTACTGAACTCTGCCTGAGGTCAGTGTTTACACTAGTCATTATGGGAGCCCCTACACATACAGACACCTTTCAAAACCAAAAAATCTCTGATAACTACGGTTTCTTACAAACAAACATTATTAGGGCAGTTACTTGTCATATTTGTTGTTAAATTGTTTAAAAATGCAGTTTCGTGGTTTTTGTTTACATTTACATGAATGTGGTGTAAAATTGTAAACATGACAGGTGCCTGGGAACAGCTGACAGGCCTGCAGCTGCTCGGCCAGTGCTGCCAACACTTTTTCATGAAAGTCACTAGTCATCCCTAAAGTTGCTACACAGTCACTGAACACATTCTGGAGAAATACCAGTACAGGTTGTACCTCTCTAGGCTGGCATTCTGTGGTCCGAAAACTCCCGTGGTCCGGAACGATTTTAGTTTGTCCAATAGGTAGATGGGCAGCCCCCACCCCCCCCTTTTTTTTTATCTTAATTATTATTATTATTACAGGAGTATTAAATTTTTGCCCCTCAGGCCCCAATGTGGATCAGTGAACTATGCCCGGGTGGGCTAATCCCTTTTAAAAAAAAAGCCGCGGGAAATTAAGGTTTGTTTACATCCGGCAGTTCGGCTGCTCTCTCTCTCTCTCTCTCTCTGCTTGTCTATACAGAGTACAACATTTAACCCTTCAATATATATGAGCAGTAAATAAGTGTTGCTTTCATATTCTTATGTAGAGTAATGACGATATGTTTTCACATGTGCGCACTTACATACGCGCAGTCTCACTTTTTTTTTTACCATTAATGGTAGCTACTTATATTGTTCCATTTATTAACATTAAATAACATTACAGGTACTTCAAACAACCATATTAATTTTTTTACATTAATTTTACTACAGCTGAAATCAGGGTCTTATTTTCTTCAGCTTTATATGTAGAACCAATCAGTCACTGGTTTTGCAAGCTTTAACATAAACAATGCCGGCAGCCGTCTCGTCTCCTCTAATATTCCACGTATTATTAATAAATTGTATTGCTAATTTTGCACACACGTACATTAATTCAATAAAAACAAATTCAGAAACATTAATTAAAATATATATGAACAGTAAATAAGTGTTGCTTTCATATTCTTATGAAAAGTAATGACGATATGTTTTCACGTGTGCGCATGTGCACTTACATACGCGATCTCTCTTTTTTCTTTACCATTATCGTTAGCTACTTCTATTGTTCCATTTATTAACATTAAATAACATTACTTAAAACAACTATATTAATTTTACTACAGCTACAACCAAGGTCTTATTTTCTTCAGTTTTATATGTAGAACCAGTCAGTCACTGGTTTTGTAATCAACGAAAACAATGCTGTGTCATTTCCTCGTGTGTTTTAAAATTCTACGTATTATTAATGAATTGTATTGCTCATTTTCCACACAAACATTAATTCAATAAAAAAGACATTCAGTAATAAACAATAATGAATCTTTTGTACATAAGAGAAATGACGCTGTTTACACGATTATACACGTCGTCTGCACGTTGGCGGGCCATTCAAACCTGTCGAAATTCAAGTTTCCGCCATCAAAATTTGTATTTATTAATTTTTTTGTGTTCTAATAAAATACGTTAAGAATTAAAAACTCGCGAAATTTGAGAAGCTAATATACGACATTTAACCCTTCAATATGTCTTCAAAGAGACCATGATGCAGAGAAAGTGGTGCTAGTGCTTCCAAGCATAAGCACAAGTCACTATCTATCCAGGAAAAGGGTGAATTTCCATGGTCCGGCACCGGTCAGGTCCCGAGGTTGCCGGACTAGAGAGGTACAACCTGTACTGTACATGTAAGACATTATCTAAAGAGAATAATTGTTAATGATTTGGCTAAATGCCAAAAACTGTCGCAAGTGGCAACTATGCGATCAACAGATGAATGACTTCTCTGTTGTACAGTATTCCTCACGTCCTACCTGTATTTATTTATACATAACGTCGATTTAAAGCGATTCAATTGAAGATTGTTGATTTAAAGCGACACCCACAATTAAGGGCAATGTTTTAATTTAAAGCGCGAGTCAATCTGGTGCATCATATTTAAAATTTTGCGTCTAATGTTTCTCTGGGCACACTACACTGTCCTAAGGGCAAAGCTGTACTGTACATGTACTCAAAATAATGTACTAAATGATTACTAATATTTTTGTCGAGTGCAAACTATAGCATGTTTATATTCAAATTAATCACTATCTTATAAGAATTCCAGCAATGTAAATTATATTCTCCCTGGCCACTTCTGTGACATTTTATAAGAAAAAAACAAACTCAAAGCTAAAGGACATGTCAATGTCCCCCCCATCTTCCCAGCCAGGGTTTGGTGTTTTAAGCTTAAAGTTTTTATTTTATATAATATCAGACTAAAGTTAGAAGAATATAATTTGCTTTGCTGGAATCCTTGCAAGACAGCGAATAATTAGAATATGAACGTCAATAATTTTGCACAAGATACAATTTTTTGCTCTAATATAATTCTTAAATTAGAACTAAAATTTTCATGTCTAATGCGAGCTACAGCATGTTTATATTCAAATTAATCACTATCTTATAAAAATGCCAGCAAGGTTAATTAAATTTTCCCATGTTAGTTCAGTAACATTATATAAGAGAAAAACTTAGTCACTCTTAAGGACAGATAAATAAATAAGCACTAGACCTTGGCATCAACTGTCATACATATCACCTCACCCCCCCCATCTTCCCAGTCAGTAAACAGACCATTTCGCATCCCTTAATTTTAGCTGTGTTGATTTATGAGTGTTTGTTTTAACATAATACCACAAAAAATACTACATAATACTACATCTGACGAAATTTATGTAGCCGTATATCCAGATCTATCTCGACAACATCAATGCTAGTCGTCAACGTAGTATTGAGGACTTCCTCGCCCGCAACACACCACAGCCAGCCCAAGTCAGTGATAGTGATATTGACAGTGAGGATATGGACTTTGAGAGGTTTGTCTGGGAGGCCCTGCAAACCTCTGCGAGTAGTGAAAGTGATTCACCGGAGGGCAAGTAATCTGCCCTCTGCCTCGGAACCAGCCGCCATCCACATGTGCCGAACCAGCTTTTCTACAAACGTAAGTGTTAAAAACCTAATATTATTGATATTTCTCATAATTATTATTTATGTGTGCATACCATCATAAAATTAAGATATAATTTTTACTACAACGTATGTATTGTGTCGGCAAAAAGTGGAGTTTGGGGGTCGGCCCAGTCTCTATTTCAATTAATCCCATATGTTCTGTTATTTCATTTACGTGTTTCTCGTTCACATGTTTCTCATTTTAGTATATTAAAAAAAAACTAATAATTAAACACTCCATTGACATGACATAAGCCAAACTCAAACCATCAACTTAAAGCTAATGAAGCCTTGAAATCTCACTCATGCTGTTCTCCAATAACAAACCTACTATTATAACTTTTAGTGCAATCTTTTCATAAACAATTTTCTTTGGAATATGAAATATGGAAGAAACTAACCTGTCCCATTTTAGGGGATCTCTGTAGGAATAAGAGTCCCTTCTTGTTGACGACATTTACTTCTAGAGTACGCCGTGTCAGCTCATTGGAAGGAATGGAGTACTCAAACCTCTCATCATATTTAGGGTTGCAACTATCTTTGATCACATCTGTCTTACGCTTACTGTCTTTAGAGCGATCAGGAAGGAGATATAATTTCACATATGGATCTGGTAACTCTCCATCGTCCTCAACTGGCAAGTTTCTGCAGATAAAACAAGAAATTGTCAAACTCGCCTTTCAAGGATGTACAGTATAATATGGAAATAATAATAGCTGGTCTTTTGTTTCTCAAAAGTGCCAGTTCTTCTATAGAATTCACTAATGTTTAAAACACTAACAGTCAAGGACCTATTCACTATCTTGACTGCTTACTGTGAGTACATTACCCAATAGTATGGGGACTTCAAACCCAATAAGGTTTTTAACAAATTGAAAATGGAAGCAACCACAAAAACAAACCTAGTACATTTAATAAACTTACATACAGTATTGTATTGAGAAGTACAAATTTTTACATACGTAATCTGGTGGATAACAATAACAAGGTTGCTGCGTGGCCCAAACTTCACAGTCAGCTCAATACGGCCGAGTCCGTGAATTCCAGCCGCATTTGTTCTGAAAATAATTGAAGAGGTTATATATAAATACTATATTCAGAGTTGCAAGGATGCTTTCTGATGGCTTTGGCACATCAATTGACAATAAAAAGATAACTTGCAGAAAGATATGAGAAAGGGCAAGACCTCAAAATTCAAGAAGAATCTATTACATATACCTGTACAGTTCAGCTGGAAGAGTTGGTACAACATTCCTAAATTTATTAAAAACCCACAACTGATCAGCCCAGTACCATAACTTACCTCTGTCTAAGATCAGTGTCATCACCAGGTGTTGCAGATGGTCCCATTTGCATGAGAGGAGATGCTGCTGATGACATTACCTCCTCAATGCTCTCTACCACAGCAGGCTCATTCACTGTGCTCTCTGGTTTAACTGGCACATCTGGAATACAAGTTGAAGTGAACAGTCATAAAATAGCAGGTATAGTATTTGTAAGTCAAATGAGAGGACTAATTATGTGTACATGACAAGTATTTGAAGGATAAAACTTATTCCCCACAAAATGTTTAAATCCATAGTTAATGAAAATTAAAAAATAAATACTGTATGGACTTGTGCTTGGGTTATGGGTATGGGGGGGGTAAATAATGGCCGTTCCAGGCAAGGGGGTACTGGAGGCAACCAGGACCGAGTGCCAGCTGTGAAAAGGGTTCTTGCAGGTTTAACTATTTTCTGTATTCTTCACACCCACGTCAATTATATAGAGAATTGTGCCACACACAAATGGTGACAAGCATTATCAAATAAATTTATTATACTCCACTCAAGGTTGTTTGTGAGGTTTTTCCCCACATACCTTAAGGGAAATAGTGTAAGGGTGAATAGCATCTGAGTGAATATTACACTTGCCTCCTGACCCCAAGACAGCCAGTTAAACTCCTTCAGGTACAAAAATTGGTGCCAAACTTTACAGTTAAGGAAGGAAAGGCTGTAAAGTGCAGTACCACAAATTTTTTCTGTGTGAACCAAATCTTAATCTTCAGTGTACTGTATCCACACTGCCCCTATAGAGATGTTAGATCAAAAGGTCTTCATTTTAAGTGCAGACTAGAATCTGTAGTCTAATTAAACAAAAATTCTTCTATAATCACTGCTGCCCTGATATGGGATTATTAGGTCCTTTCTCTACTATAATCACTCTTAAGCTCTTAACCCTTAAAACAAATGGAACTTTTTAAGAAGACTATTTGCTTTGACTGAAAAATTAGGGTTTTAAAAAAGGGTAAGCATATCAAAATTTTCCCATGAAAATAAGAAGTTTCACTCACTGAATACGTACAGTGGTATAATATTTATACACACTTCAGCAGATAGCCATAGGCTTTTATAATCCAGAGTCCCTCCTGACCCCTCAACTGATAATTATACAACCGGTTCCTCTGTCAACACCCCACCCCTCCCAACCAGCAGGGGAGGCAGATGGCCGTGGGTGGTGACGATTAATGGGATGAAGGTGATTTAAGGCTTAAAAATTTATCTTACAAAATGTCACAACTTGACTTAGCAGAATAATACTTGCATTGCTGAAATCCTTACAAGACGGCAATTAATTTGAGTATAAACATCTCATAATATGCACAAGATAAAAACTTTAGTCCTTTACCTTAGTGCATTTGAGGGGAGTACAGTAATGTTGCTCAAAATTATGGCTTTTTCACAGGGGAAAATGTCTGTATAACTAGCCCCCAGTGGTCAGGATATTATGGTATCGAATGTTACAGGGTATTTAAATTAAATTTTGATTAGTTCTGTACATGCTATAGACTGGTAGAAGCTGACGGTGGACCCATGAAAGGGTTATCTGCCTCTGTCATTCTTATTGGGCAAAATATTGTTTGTTATTTATTAATTAGTAAGTATATGTTACTAATAATATGAACTTAATAATACTAGTACTGAACCATTTATATACAGTAAAATACTTATTTTTCATTTGGCTTGTCATTTAAAGATATCATATTGGAAATGTCTTGTAGATAATTTATTAAGGGATCATTATGGTATCAAATTCATCTGCCTATCACAGTTAGCCATGCTTGAGTGAGGAAGGAGGGGAGAAAAGTTAGTGCGTGACCCTCTCCACCCCCCCACCCCTCAAAAAAAAGGTTCCCCTCCAGCCATCCGTGCGACTGCTTTCTCGCTCCATATTTTAAAATGTCATGATATACCTTACATGACATCCAAGGCATACAACTTTGCTCATTTATACTTATAATTATCACAATCTCCCTAAAAATACTTAACTGTCTTTATTCAAGACAACTTCAGGTCATTAGAACCACTAATCCCCCACCCAAGAAAGGGTGACCCATCATTCCATTGGTAGGTCAGTAATATGAGACCACTAATCCCCCATCCTACCTCCATCTGATATTGTATCAGGTTAGGTCAGATCTACCCCCAAAATAATTTGGCTTTTGTCTTTATTCAAGACATCTTCAGGTCATGAGACCCACTAATCGCCCACTCAAAAAAGAGTGACCCGACATTCCATCTCCGTAAATTCAGTTGCCTCTGAAGACGTTGTGAATAAAGACGAAAGCCAAGGCACTCCCGTGTATACTTAGTTAACCGAGAGGTAGCAGTGAACAACACACGTGGTGGCGGCAGGACATAGACTGAGCAGTGGAAAGCTCAATTTAACAGAAATTTCAATTTAATGAACAGGGGTGGCTCGAATTAGTTCATTAAATAGAGAAAATTCTGTATGTTGGGGTTAATTTTTAGTTCATTAAATAGAGAAAATTCTGTATGTTGGGATTAAATTTCAGTTCAGAAATTCGGGTAGATACTTTGTTTCTTTAACTCAGTTACATGGACACCCATATAAATGTGCAAAAAAGTAAATGACAACTATTATAGGGTAAAAAATCAAAGGGAAGAAACATTTGTGTGTGCTGAAATTATTATGAAACACGAAGAAGGCATTAGAACCAATGCACACTAATGAATATGGCATGTCATCATTGACTACCTGTACAATCAGCCATTTGATATGTAAACAAAGCTGCCGGTAATACAACATACACACCTCCAAGCAAGATAAAATATAGTACTGTATTCTATTTTTTTTTATTTATTATTGTACAGTATACTGTACAGTACTGTATTTAGTTTATATTTAATGTTTTGTTAATTCTATTACTGGTATACAGTACTTTGTATGTAGTATACTTTTTCTGTGAGTTGGAATCAATTACCCAATATCCCATTGAAATAATAGATTTGGTTAACGAACGACTCTGTGGAACGAATTGTGTTCGTTAACCGAGGGACCACTGTAATTAATATTTTATACAATAACAGGTCTGCTTACCAATTGTGAACACATTTTGTTTGAATAAATGGACAACTACACAAAGATTTTCTATGAACCAAACAGCTATTTTTATAGAAGGGGGCCTGGGTTACGGGCATGGAAATAGTATAGGCAGGTTTCGTTGATCGTTAACCGATTTCATGTTTTTGGGGGCATGATACTGGGGTTTGCTCGTCACTGGGGAACCATACCCAGTTTTCCTATTTGTTCTGTTATTCGAGATACAAAAATTCACTTATCGTGGTTTTCCAGGAACCTATCCTATTCACTAAGCGAGGGATATCTGTAATAATAAAAAATAATAAATAATAATAATTATAAATAATAATAATAAATAATAATAATAAATAATATTTTTATTATTATAATTATTACAGTATTATTTTTATTATTTATGCTAATAATAATAATGACACTACCACTAATTATACTGCGATACAGTAATAATAAAGACAATTCCTTTAGGAAAATGACTTGCAAAGTCTACACAGTAAAATTAACCAAAGAAATTTGACAATTTTATCTTATTTAAATGGGCCACAAATCTAAAGTGTGGAAAAGTTAAAGCAAATCAATACTGCAGTAACTGATCATGCTGTAAAGATGTGGAACATACGTACACACAGAGGGAAGCCATATCCCCCTACTAGTACTGTAAAAATTTACAAGGACCTATTCCAAGAGAATTGTGGAAAAACAGGAGCTAAAGATGTGAGAGGCCCCAAGATGGTCAGCACCGCCTCTAGAGAAAAACAATCATCATTAGCCTCACCAACAAAAAAAAAAAAAAGAATAATACAAAACAGGAGTGGCATGCTGTATGATCTGTATAGGTTTTCATTTCCAAAGTCTCTCATTATCCAGGGCTCTCAAAAATAAATAAAAATCTTACCAAAATACTGGTATTTTATTTGTCAAAATTTCATGCATAATACAAAATTAGAAATTATTTTGAGTGGTTTATTCATAATATAAAAAACAACCCAATCACTGCAGTTATGATCAGATTTAATACGGTACACAGTACTGTACAGTATAATAAATCGTAGCAGCAGTTCTTGGATAAAAATTTAAAACATATTAGAAACTTCAGGAATGATACCAAATATAAATAAGCTCAGAGTATCTCAACCTCATTTCCAGGTTATAGAAGTAAACAACCCTAAATGACTAGAAAGAAAATAATACCTCAAGAAATTTTAGAATTTAAAATTAGCAAGATGCAACGAACTGAAAATTATGCCAAACTTTAATACTGTACAGAATTTGTGCCTAAGGCATTTGCATGGGCATCCACTAGGGGCCTCCAGCTTGTGTCAAAGGAAAACAACTTTTGGTTGGGTCAGGGGTTTAACGCAGTCATTTTTCGAAGGTCAGACAAGCAGGTACAGTATGTGAGGTCTCAGCAGATCAGGTCAGTTACCTCAGGTTATCAAGGTGGACTCTCCTATACCCAAGACTCGGCAGTTTGACATTACCAGTAAAATTAGAACAGACCATACAGAACAGACCATTCTCCCAGCAACATGTCCTTCAGTTTTGTACAAGACACCATCATGATACTGACCACTTCTGTTTTGGATACTGTTGCAGTATTTACTCTGATGGAATGCTGAGATTATAAGTGAAGGAAAATATATATTTGTATAAAAAATTATGATTTTACCGTGGTACCGGTCTCTTGTATAAAGTTTAGTGTCACAGCCAAGATTTCATACCAGTTGTCATTTTTATTTTACGGTGATTCTACTTTAATACAGGGGGTCCCCAGGTTACAAATGAGTTCCGTTCCTCAGGACGTTCTTAAGTCAGATTTGTGCGCAAGTTGGAATGCATGCTATTTGCATGCAACTTACAGAACAAGGTTTAAAATCACACTATATAATAGCCTAAGTCCTTATAGACATCTAAAATACATTACGAACAAAATTAATATAATGACAACGAACAGTAAATGAAAGTAAATAAAATACTGTAAATTTCAAGTTTAATCCCGTTCGTAAATTGGGGACCCCCTGTATACATTTCTTTCCTGCCAATGCATCAGGATTATAAATTGTCA